TCTCCCTCTGACCCTCCTCCCTCTCATGCTCTCTGTCTCTCATTCTCTCTCTCAAATAAATAAATAAAATCTTTAAAAAAAAAAAAAAAAGAAATGAAGACATTCCATAATTTGGCTTTACTTTGTATATGTACCCTATAAATCAACCAAACTACACAACTTATTTTTCCTGCAAAATATTTCACATTATCCCTACTTTGCTCACATTGTTTCTCATCTCTTCCTTTCAGTAAACTGTACAAACTCTCCTGTTAGTTGAAATACTACCTACTCATTCAAGATCTCAAATGTTCTAATTTTATTTCCTCAAATAAATACGATCTCTTCCATTTTTTCCCCAAGATAAACCGTCATTCTATATTTGTACACTTTTATTGGCATACATATGGCCACAGTACATAGTTTTTTATTAAATTACTATTACACTTATAATTGGATTCAACTAACCAAAACACTTAATTCTAAAAAAATTATGAATTTTTACCATCTAGTAAATACAGCTTACACTTACCAGAATTTATGTGCATACAGAAAAGTAGGTAATCTTTTTCAGAGATCGCAGCAATATTTATTTTGATTAAAGAGAGTATATAAACTTACTGTTTATAACAGTTTATAACTCTTTATAACAGTATATAAACTTACTGTTAATATTTTAAAGTTTACTTATTATTTTTTTTTAATAATCTCTACACCCATTGCAGTCTTTAAACTCATGACCCCGAGATCAAGAGTTGCATGCTCTCCTGACGGAGCCAGCCAGGTGCCCCTACTGTTAAAATTTTAAATCATAAAACCAAACTGATGGTTTTATAGGAAACATCTCCACAAATCACAGGCCTGGTCGCTCTTTAATCTTAGCTGAAGAGTTAAGAACTTAAGGGAAGATCATTTAAAGAGACTATATCTACATTTCTCTGTAGCTACCCTGAATTATTAGAGATAATAATAAGTGATATTTAATACTGTTTTAGAGCTTCCTGTTTTGTGATCTATTTCTTGCTGTGTGTGTGTATGCGCGTGCGTGATTTTTTTTTAAATTTTTTAAAAGATTTTATTTATTTATTTGACAGAGAGCACAAGCGGGGAGTGGCAGGCAGAGGGAGAGGGAGAAGCAGACCCCCTGCTGAGCAAGGAGCCCGATATGGGACTCCATCCCGGGACTCCAAGATCATGACCTGAGCCGAAGGCAGTCGCCTAACCAACTGAGCCACCCAGGCGCCCGGAAACCAGTTCTTAATGATGGAAGAACTAGCAGGCATCCAACAAATTTATCAGTTTGTTTCTACTATTCCCAGTCCTCATTCAGTAGTAGAATAAATAATAAATAAATATAAAAAATAATAAATACAGTATTCATTCCATTTCTATTAAATAGCATCTATGAACAAACACTTTTTTTCTGGAAAAAAAATAATTTATATTTTATTAAAAACAAATCAACATAAAAAAATATAGTCTCAAAATTTGTTTCCTTCCTAGGACAGTTAAAATAGCTTCAGACTTACATACTAAAAAGGTATTAGGGCCTTTAAATCTGTTTTAAAAAGCAGACATCTATGTGGAACAAAGTAATGTTAAAAATTATTTTTCAAAAGTCTCCGTGTCATTAGCAAAGAGTTACAGCAAAAGAAATTCCAAAATTATAGTATTAAGAGGGTTTTTTAGACTTGTTTTTGGAATTGGTTTAGAGCAACGATCTCAAACTCCAATGTCTACAGTGGCCATCCAGATAACATAAATGGATAAAACTGGTCAGGAGGGCACTATTCCAAGTAATGCGGGGCTGCTATTTGGCTCTAGCCAGTTGTTGATATGTGAGATTTTTTTAGACCCACTGTTGTTAAATCTTCCAATTTTTCAATAGAAGATGAAAATCTAAACTTTCATTGGCTCAAAATTTTTACAAACATTATGTGGGCCTCACACTCAGTGGTTTAAAGAACTGAAGGGTGCCTGGGAGGGCTCAGTCAGTTAAGCCTCCGACTCTTGATTTCAACTCTTAATTTCAACTCAGGTCATGATCTCAGGGTCGTGGGATCGAGCCCTGCATGGGGCTTCGTGCTCAGCTGAGTCTGCTGCTTGTGATTCTCTCTTTCCCTCTCCTTCTGCTTCTCCCACAACTCACGTATGCATGCTCTCTCTCTCTCTCAAATAAATAAATCTTAAAAAAAAACCAAAAACTGAAATATTTCTAACCAAAAAAAAAAGTCAGCTGAAAATTAAGAAAAAATTTTGTGAAGTTTATCCTATATGATGATTGTTACTGTCATGACTAATACTATGAGATTTTCTTTTTAAAATATAAAATGTCTACATACAGAAATGATTTTATGTAGTACCCACCTCCGATTTAAAATAGGAATTATTAAAATTTAAATAGGAAGTTTATATGAAATAATAGGAAATGTTAATAGTGATCATCAATATGCCAACATATAGCTGAAGAAGAAATTTCTCAAGAAGCAAGCATAAAAACAATTTTGTTTTAGCAAGGACATTACGTGTGTAGGTGATTTTAGTTTAGAACAATTTCACACACAAAAAATTTAAGAACTATGATCCACACAATAGGTAAGAAATAACTTAAGGCACTAATATACTGTTCCTAGAAATAGTCTCCCATCAGTTCTTCTATATTGACTTTTTTCCTATGTTGGTGGACATAAAAATTTTTGTGAAGTCTTGGTATAAAGATATATGTATCAATGCCAGACTACATAATTTCTATTTTTATTTTCTACTTTTCTCATTCTCATCCATCATATTCTTTCTGAAAGAATGGCAGAATGATTCCCAGTTTAGAATGCTGTTTCCTTTTCTGTTGAACCACAAAAAAAAAACAAAACAGATTCAAAGGATTATTTGTAGGAAACAAAGTGTTTTCAAAATATGGTCTTCTTACCTCTTTCATTTTCTTTTGTTAATCCTCTGGAGTAAGCAGAAGTTATACCTACAAGACTATTTGGCCTGTTTAGTTGACTTGAAGCATAAAGTGAACTGCTCATGGTAGAAACTGAAGAGGATGGAGTGGTTGAACTTGAAGTCGATACGGGTCTGTAACGTTGGTAAGTCTGTGAAATATTAAAATTAATACCCATCTAAAATACTAAAGTTAAAAACATATAAACACTTAAATTCATTTTAAAGGAAAAATAATGTTCTAATCATCTCAAAATAATTCAGATTTCTAGTTAAAATCCTTTTGAGTATTTTGTATATGGTTGTTGGTATATAAATCTCTTGTATTTTGAGTCATAAGAACTATTCATAGCATTTGACCTAGCTGTGTTGCTGTGTTGTTGGTATACTATTACCTCATCATATGTTCTAGAGTACTTTTGTTTATATTCATCTTCTCTTGATGTTTCTGACTCCTTCTTTTCTTCTTGCTTCTCTTTATCCTGTTTTTCTTTTTCCTCTTTTTCTTTTTCTTCATTTTCTTGTTCTCTGGTTCGGGTAGAACGACTTCTTCCTATTGTTTTTTCAGCTTCCTGAAGATCAGTTAATGTTACTCCCTGTACACAAAAAAGGTAAATTTAATAATGAGAGGCATTATAGCTTGTTTCAAAGGAATATTTTATAAGTAGACAAATTTAATATGAATGTATTAAAGTCAAATACACATGTTTGGAATTGGTTTGGAAATTGAAATAGAATTTCTACTTGGCAAGTCACATTCATTCTATGAAGAATCATCATGAGCAAGCACAATAATAGGTATTGGGAAAGATATAAAATATGTGTAATAAATAGTCTCTATATTCAAGAAATTAACAAAAACAGGGAGATGACAGAAATAACACATGAATTCCTAAGAAGTTCAGAGAAAGAAGGAAAAACTGATATAAATATTGTTTATATGCTAAATTTATATGTATTTGTTTTTATGTATATATTTACAGAGAAAATTTCAGTAAAAAAATAATTTCTGAAGGATAAGCCTTGAAGAACAGGTTAGATTTCAAGAAGTAAAGGTACAAAGACAGAAATAGTATGTTAAGATCTTAGCAAACAGTTCAGTTTGAAATGTGAGTAAGAGTAAGGATCAAGGAGTTGAATCTGGACTTTGAAGCTCCTCAACTGTAGGAAAGGACAGACAAAGGATAAAAGGATAGTGATATATTAGATATACTTAGAATGGCAAGGAGGTTAGGGAGATGATAACTAGACTGAGTGACATTTTCCTCATACTTGCACATTAGCTGTCTGAAATATCTAACATAATAGACCTATTCCCCACAACTCCAAATATTCATAGAATTCTTTAATAATTATCAGACATATTGATTAACACTTATTGAATACTCTGTGCCAGATACCATCTTAGCAACAAAAAAATATTCAAAGACATACAAAGGCATATGGCTAATTGGATTAAATATAATATTAACAATGTGACCATATACAAAGGCTAGGGCAGGATTACTAACGCAATCTTTATTTTTGAGATTTACCCACATTATATACTGACACTGATATTTCCTTTTTAAAATTTTTTTAAAGTTTTTAAAAATTTATTTAAATAATCCCTATACCCAATGTGGGGCTCGACCTCATGACCCCAGATATCCGACTGAGCCAGCTAGGCGCCACCAATGACATCAATATTTTCACAGAGAAGTGAAAAAGAGAGAGGTAATTTGTTTTGAAGTTTTATATATTATACACATTAAATATACCTGTGTTGATCTTCTAGACTGTCTTGCTTGTCTAGATCTTGCTTTTCTTTGGGATTCAGACTCTTCATCTCTAACAGGAGTGAGGTATGATCTACAGTAATAAGTAAAAATTGTTAGTTGGAGATATAATATCTGTGAATGTAATTACATATGAATGTGTGAATGATTACAAAGTTAAGCATTTTAATGGGTTTTAAGAAGTCTTCAAAAATGGTTACATCCACCCTGAAAATTCAGCAATACAATCTGATAAATCTTTAGATTGGAAATAATCATACTAACTTATATTTTTCAAGTTCTTCATAACTACAGGTTTTTTTGTTTTTTGTTTTTAATTTTTTATTGTTATGTTAATCACCATACATCATTAGTTTTTGTTTTTTGTTTGTTTTTTTTTTAAAGACATGCGACATCAGTCCTCTTAGCCCCTTTTTTGGTTCCCCACAATACCATGTTAGATGAAAGGTGAAGTTATCTGGCTAAACTCTAGACTGTCAATGTCTTTTTACGGTAGAATGGTTAGGACTGAAGGCAACATTCAACATATGGGATGACTAGTCAGCGAGCAACACTCCCTGAATTCTGCCATTGTGCATTTATTAATGATGTTTTTGGCAGATATACTCTCGTTCACACTTTGAGTTCTCTAAAAAGTCAAGTGCTTTTATACATAAACTGCTTTAAAACCAGCATCTTATTTCTGGTTACTGATTTTCTGATATAAAGAGGACTTAACATTTAGCTTCACTACATTTCATCTTGCACATCTAAGCCTATGTTCCATCCTGTCACAGAATATGCACCATTTCAAAAGCAAGCAATCTAGTCAAGAGATTAGTATTTAATTAATTAAAGGGTTGAATAAGCAAAGATAAGACAGAGAGCCCTGCAACACAACAAAAAAACTTCCTTCCAATGATCAATATTACCTGGGATGTTCAATTGTTAATACTTTATGTAGTTATATTACCATCTAACTCACATTTCTCAGAGAACACTCAGAAGTAGAGTATCCCTATTTTCTATGCTGTCTATCAAATTTATCTAGTTTATACCATCCTGCCCCTCCCCTCCAAATGCGACTTTTTAAAAAGTTTCAGCTTTAGTATGCTTTCCAATTGGTAATTCGTTCTCTTTAAACTCCCTAAAACTATTCATATATCCATAGCAAACTTTGGAATTTATTCTTGGTTTTATGCCTTATCTTTTATTTTTTCTATGCACCCTTTAAAGCTCTATGTTCAGAGAGTATAACATATCTCAAGCTCCTTAGAATAATTTACAGTTTTTTCAGAATTCTTTTAGAGAGCCCCATTCCTTTTGATTTATCATTCTCTTCCTTCACACTCTTTAGTTTTTAGAAATCTGTCTCTCTAAAACTAGAATACATGATGCATTATTCCTAGGATTCACCTGATCATCCAAAATCTACTTGTCTCAATTCCATCAATTAACTCTTACTTATTGGTTAAAGTTAGTTCTAAAAGACTGGTTTTCTGTGTTGCTTCTACTTTACAGATAAACTTTAAGCAAGGTAAGTTAAGAACTTCTCTAGAGGATGTTTTTGATTGAGACATCCAACAAATTTAGAGAAAGATGAAAATCCTCTCCCTACTTTTTTTTTTACTTAAGTTGTTTTTATCATCTGATGGTCTGAGAAAATATCATCTGATCTCTCTACTTGGATGAATAACTTATGGAACTATTTCATAATGATATAATTGATTTTTTTTCTCTTTATCCATATGTTCTCTATCATATTTTCAGCTCTAGGTTTCTAGAGGATCTTGAAAGATTGTCTTGTTGCTATTATAGTAGCACTGTATTTATCTCATAAATCAGGCACACCTCATGAAGTATTAGTATTAGTATTAGTATCTTACTAAATTTGGTTTCTACTAGAATACTGGTACAGATTTAAGTTTATAACCTAAAATTTTAATTAAAAAAATTAAATGTCTAATTATTTGTTTTCTGCTTTTATTTTTTTTTTTTAAGATTTTTATTTATTTGAGAGCGAGAGTGTGCAAGCACAGCAGGGTCAACGGCAGGCAGATGGAAAAGCAGGGTCCCCACTGAGCAGGAAGGCTGATATGGGGATTGATCCCAGGACCCTGGGATCATGATCTGAGCGCCAAAGGCAGACGCTTAACCAACTGAACCACCCACGAGCCCCTGTTTTCTGTTACTTTTAATTTGTCCTCCTAAACGTATAGGGCAAGGAAGAAATTCACTAAACAAAACATTTTAGTTATCAACATTTCTTTAGTTTGACTTTCTTTTAGAGATTCAGCAACACATGGCTTCATCTGTATCAATGGACAGATCCAAAGAGATGAGCAGATTGGTAGGATACCTGCCCTCTTGATGGTCCATGATGCTCAAGCTACACTAAGCTTGATACTTCTCTTTCTCCCACTGTTTTATAATTTTCATTTTGTCTATGTATCAACTCTTGTGAGATTTAAGCTTTTTATTTAGATATAACAGATACTAAAACAGATATAACAGATACTTCCTATTTTTATAACAACTCCAGTGATTTTTCTGGAACAAGTAATTTAAAAGGTGAAAGAGAATAACAATAAACTTGTTATTATAGTTTCAGTTTAAGAAAATTAATTCTGGAATATAGTGAGGAGCTTCTTTGTGGCAGAAGTTGGTTATATGTATTTGGAAAATGCTATCCATTTTAACCTTCTCTAGGAAAATCACAACATGTTAAAGGCTCTGAGAAGAACCGAAGGAAGAACCCTGCTTAATCTTGTTTACGCATTTCCCACGATTATTTAAGTAGAAAATACTTTTCTTTTGTGGTACACCTGCTACACGTGGAAAGTGCTCTTTGAAACATCAGCTTGAAAAGTATGTCCCAATGGCTATTTTTTTTAGCCATTCATTTAATACTTATTTATGCATCTACTGCCTCTATGCAATTTATTGCTTTTTGGACTTCTCCCAGATGAGGGGAAGAAAAAAAATAAAAGGAGATGAAACCTCAATGTAATAGCGAATCTGGTTAAACAGAAAAACTTTATAGCAGCTTAGATGGCTGCACGTTATCATTTCAGTATTTCAAGAGCTTCTCTGAAAGTAAGAATGAACATGGACTTCTGAATCTGACTCCCCTATGTAATGGTCAAAATTCCCATATTTAGTTTAAAACAGGGAAATCTGCATTGCCATTTGCCCTTTTAATCTCCAAGGCAAACAGAACTAATCAACCATCACACTCTCTTCAAAAGAGCCTCGATTCTTTTTCTACAGTTTCAAGTTACCATAAAAGTTAAATGTATTTATCATATCTTGTTTAACATATAGATAGGTTAAGGGGATAAAAATTACTAAATGGAAGACTTACAATATCTGTTCATTTAAATTTTCCATACATTTCCTCCAAATTAGCATAAAAATCTAGCCTATCAATTTGTAATACACAATGTATTTTCTATTACTTTAAGAGACCCCATCTAGTATTCAGTTCCTTTCTCCTCTCCTGGGGTTCCTGTACAGAGCAGACCTCTATGAATAAAATGTAGAGAAGAAAATTAATTCATATATTTTATGTGTTTTTAATTAAAAAGAGCGGACTAAGGCACCTGGGTGGCTCAGCTGGTTGGGCATCTGCCTTTGGCTCAGGTCATGATCCCAGGGTCCTGGGATCGAGTCCCACATCGGGCTCCCTGCTTAGCAGGGAATCTGCTTCTCCCTCTGTCCCTCCCCCTGCTCGTGCTCACGCTCTCTCTCTTGCAAAAATAAATAAATAAAATCTTAAAAAAAAAAAGAGCTGACCATCAAAATGCAGAATATATCAGTCAAAATCCACTGCCTTAATCATTACTATATCATACTGTCATACTGATCTCTTTCTTGTAATTATATAGGGTGCATAATTTTAGTCCTTAGTAGTCACAGATTGCTTATTATTTTCTAAGCAACTGAAAGGTTGTTATTTTTAAATTAAGAATTATATAAAAGTAGAAAAGTCACTTAATATCTCTGGGTCTTAGTTTCCTTCTGTAAAGCAAAGATACCACAGGTAAGTTCTTTTCCACATCTGTGATTCCATACCAATTATGAGCAGCAGGAAGAAGTAAAGCAATGCTCTTAATAACATTTAAGCACACAAAATAAATTCATAAACCCTTTAAGAAATTTAATAAGTGCCTTTTATGTGCTAGGATTAAAACTAAGTGAATGTACTCAATGTACTTACAAATTATCTGGCTTACATGTAGCCTAAGAAATCTTTAAGAGACTCTTAAAATGAAAATCTCAAAAATAACAAAACAAAAACAGTTAACATCCATCAAATTTTTTTAATAATGGGGGAAACATAGAGAAAAATGAAAAGTATGTTTTTGTCAGATCTAGTCTTCCATGAGTCTGACTGGGTGTGTTCAGACAGATCTTCCATCACAAAAATGTCTTGAATTAAAACAACCATTAAAAAAATGAAGATGGCTAAGAAGACAAGTGTCTGGCTACTGCCTTGAAATGAAAACATCAATTCTGTCCGAGGGAGTCACCAAGCCGAAATGCTAATAATTGCCCATTATATCAATCTACACAGTTCTGAGCTGATACAGGTTATTTCATTTATTAACCTACTCAAGAGATGGTCACCAACTGGACAAGATTAAAAAGCAAAACAGACAACTTTCATCACTGGGCAAGACCGAGCAGCAGTCCTGTGAGGACCTTTACACACCTGCGTCTCTCCCTGACCTCTGATGTGGAGGAGACAGTGCCAGCAGTAGTTGTAGTCAGGGTTGTGGTTGAGGCTGCAGCATTTACAACAGTTGGAGCAACAGGGATGGTCAATGCCGTAGGAACACTGTCCTTTTCTTTTTCAGTACTATCCTCAGCCCACAAACGATTTGAGGTACTATCGCATCATAAGCAGCAACACAAAAAGAGAAAAGGAAAACAGCTAAACAATGAAAGCACTTTCTAGCAGCTGAAACGTGACAACAGGGATGGATTTTTTTAAAACACAAGGCAAGACATCTTTCAACTATGAACCAAAAAGCTCACCCAGAACTGTCAAAGGAGAAATTTACATTTTAAGCAGCCTGATTCAAAGAAAGTTAATAATTCGGGAACTTAATTTTTTCCCCAGACATGCATAATTGCCTCTTTTTGGAACCAATTTTTGATTGTAAATAATTTTAATGAGGTAAATGAAAAAATCCAGAGCCCCACAATCTTCTAAACAAAAATGCATGCACATACATAAGCACACAGTAGGCCTGAACACAAAATGTATCTGTGACTCACCTGCTTTGTGTGCCTGCTGAGGAAGAACCCGTTGTAATCTTTGTAGTAGTGCTTGTGCCGGAAAGCAGGCTTTTCTGAAGCCCAGCTGCAGAGGTAACTGTTGGTGTTGATGTGGTGCTTGGAACACTAGAACTAATCAAATCATCTGGTCTTCTACCAAAGGAGCAACTGAAGGAAAGAGTCATATCTATATAGGATGTGTTTGTATGTGTATTCTATAGTTAATGTCTATATATTACACAGATTCACAAGGCTAGGAAGAATCTAAAAAACGGTGTTCCTAAATACACCACCGGCTCCAGCACCAAGAGTTGCATCTACAACTTGCTAGGAGTCTGGATGATTTCACTAATTTGGTAGTGTATCATTTTACTGCCTCCCCCCTCCCTCAGTAGGACTCAAAGATGATCTGATCTGGTATTTTTCATTCCTGGACTGTTCCAGACCATATGGTCATGCCAGACTGGGTCTGAGAAAAACACTTACGTTTAGTTTTACTCAGGGAAAGTGAAGATGGACCTTTTTGAAGAAAAGTGTTTCAGCAATGAGTCACATCCTTAGGAATGACCCATGCCTATATTATACTTGTTCATCTTTTACTCTTCTTTTTGGCTGCTTTTAGCAGAGAAAATATTTAAAGGTTTTTCCCCCCTCCTCTCCAATGTGATTTTATTACGGACATTTCCATATCTCTGAGTTCTAAGAAACGTAGAAACTTCTAGGTCAGTAAATAATGACCAGATCAATGAAGACACTGATCTATTTCAACTGCTCTAGTTAATTATATAAGGAGTTCCTTTTAAATATGCTACAATCTAAAAGATACTTCCTAATAAATCAAATCTAATGAAACATATATATTAATAGGAAGGCATAAGTAGAAGCAAACTTTCACCCATCTTTAAATATATATTCTGGGTCTTTAAATGATGTTTTATTTAAACAACAAAAGACATATTTATAAAAACGCATTATTTTCTTAATGATATTAAACTGAGGACTCCAAACAAATTGCCTCATATTTTTATAAAAGACATGAAAGTTATTCAAGAATTATATTACCTTTTATGATAAGTTGATCCTTCATTAATTGTGCTGTTCTTTTTGAGATCATCTTCCCATTTTCTTCTTGTGTAAGAACTACTTGTTCGCAAACTTGAAGAATCTCTGTGAAAAGAACATCCTTCAAATTCTGGTATATAATTTTAAAATAGGGTTAAGAAAGCTGTATATTAATAAACATTAGTAGAAGCAGAAACTAGTAAAATCCCTTGGGAAAACACTCTGGCACATTATTAAGAAGTGAAAGTAATTCCAGTTCTAAGATTCTATCCCTAGGGTATAATCCTAATTATAGGGGGGAGGAAATTAAGACATTTACTGAAGTTTTACTTATGATCACAAAATATGGGTAGGGGATAGGGCAGAGCGAGAATCCCAGGAAGGCTCCATGCCCAGCACAGAGCCCGACACGGGGCTCAATCTCACGACCCTGAGATCATGACCTGAGCTGAAATCAAGAGTTGGACGCTTAACCGAATGAGTTACCCAGGCACCCCAATAAAGATTTCATAGTAAAAACATAGAGCAAATCACAATGAATCCACCTGTTTTCCTTCTCTTCAATGTCAGATGTACTGGCTAGTCGTCTTGGTATTGTAGGTGCAACATATGCAAGCCTAGTTCCTTTACTATCTTTCTCCTACACAACAGGAAAAAAAAATGAGTAAAAATAAATCTGTGTGATGATTATAGGAGCTGCTAGAAGTATTAAGGAAAAAGTATTCAACAAGGTACAATTATACAGCCATCACAGTTGATAGTATTCTTTCAAAGTTCCTAGCTATACTCTAAAATTAATGTCTATCTATAGTACTATAAACACTAAAGGACAAAGTGTTTAAACCAAGTTTCTTTTCTTTCTCCTTTAATCTAGAATTAGACAATATTTTAGTATAAGGAAAAAAAAACCCTCACATTTTAATGACTTTTTCTAAATTTCTGTAACAGATTATATAAGGTAATGCAGTATAATAAAATAAAATATTCTTCTTTTTCCAGGGAAATAAGGCTCAAATATGGTTGACTGGTAAGTCCCAATTATTATTTACTACTTTGATATAACATTAAAACATTCAGAACAAAAATTACGAAAATTATATTTATCCAAATCTGGTTGAAACTATAGTAGCAAGGCCATCTGATACGTTCCCACTATACTGGCATCAAGTACTTGGAAAATAATTGGGCAGTCAATTTATACAAAACAAAAAAACATTAAAATTACTTGATGAGAAATTCCATTTCTGAATTTCTGATACAAAGAAACACTTTTAAATAGAGGAAGGAAACTATATGGAAAAAAGTCTAAGCACTGAAAATGCAATAGAAAATAAATAATCCAGCTATATAAAATATCACTGACTGAACTGTGGTATATTCTATTTGATATAATTTATAATTTAATACTCCTTTCCAAATATAGTTATTAAAACTACTCATTAGAAGGATGTTGCTTTTGATGTATCAGATGAAAAAGCAGATAAAAAAATTGCAGACACGGGATAAATGCAACCTAGGAGTACAATTACATTCTGGAATAAATAAATTCTAGAATAAATGTCCCTTAATACATTTTATTGTAAGCTCTCAAGTAGGTAAGGGATTCATTTAAGTATAATCTCATAATTTATTTTTTTGGCGAATACACCTGATTTTCCCAACACTTACAGAGGCACACTTCATTTTATTGCATTTAACAGATATTGTGGTTTTCATAAATTGGAATTTGTTACAACCCTGCATCAAGCAAGTACATCCCAGCCATTTTCCAACAGCATTTGCTCACTTTGTGTCTCTGTGTCACATTTTGGTGAGTCCCACAATATTTCAAAATATTTCAAATTTTTTTTTAAAGATTTATTTTTTTGTTTGAGAGAGCATGCATGCAAGCAGGGGGAGGGGCAGAAGGAGAGGGAGAGAGAATCTCAAGCAAACTCTGCACTGAGTGAAGAGCCCGATGGGGGGCTTGATCTCACGACCCTGAGATCATAATCTGAGCCAACACCAAGAGTCAGATACTTAACTGAATGAGCTGCCCAGGCACCCTCAAGCTTTTTCATTATTATTACATCTGCTATGGTAATCTATGACCAGTGATTATGACCTGCTGAAAGCTCAGATTATGGTTAGCATTTTTTAGCAATAAAGTATTTTTTAATTAAGGTATGTATATTTTCTTTAGACATAATGCTATTGCACACTTAAGAGACTACAGTATAGTATAAATAAATTTTTTTACATACAGTGGGAAACAAAAAAATTCATTTGACTTGCTTTACTGCAGGGGTCTGGAGTCAAACACACACTATCTCGGATATATGCCTATAATTCCATATTGACATCTGTTTAAGGTAGGTATATTTGTATTATTATCATGCAATTCATTAAGTCAGGTGAATTAAGTTGATACACAGATCTAATAATGATACACAGTAGAAAATCCATCAGATCTGATGTTCCTAGAAAACAAATTATTAGAGTTTTGATAGAAACCAGATTAGGAAACAGATTACCTTTTCTTTATTATCCAAAGAGGAGGAAAGCCTGGGACTTGAAGCTGAACGCATCACCCCTGCAGCGTCTTTGTCTTTCTGAGCCTCTTTAGATGCTGTGATTTCTGCAAGTGCACCGTAACTGCCAGTCTTTCTAAGTCCTAGCCTCCAAGATGCAGGAGACTCATCTTTTCTTTCTTCTTCTTTGGGAGAAACTTTTGTAGCTGAGGTTGGAAACTGTTTTTATTTTATTTTTAAGGAGAAGAAAAAATAATTATCAAGACTGATCAATCCTTAAGCTGGAAATGACAAGTTTACAGATAATATGTCTCAAATTATAGTTAATAGTTTCAGGAGAAACACTTAGACTAAGTAGGTTAATGTCTTAGTAAAAAATGTAAAGATCTAAAACTGAAAAAAAAAAAAAAATAGAACTACCTTTCCAAAAGTTAGATTTAATAAAACACACTCCACACTTTATATCACACAGAAAAATTATGATGCAAATACAGAGAACGGAAATGAGCACACCATAAGGACTTTAAAACCATGCATCTTTGGCACCAGTATTTATATTAAACTTGTTATGTTGTAACCTAATATAAATCCTTGCAGCACATAGAAATGCCTCACCATAGATTTTTCACCCTTATTGGGCACAAGAACAATGCCAGTTTTGCGCAAGCCCTGCCTCCATGATGCAGGATCTACTGATTCCACCACAGGCATGATAGGAGCAATGAAATCATACTAAAGCCAATTAAAATAAGACAGGTAAAGAGATAAAGATTGAAAGCATAAAAACAGAAAAGGAAGTTACGAACAAAACACACTTTTTAAAAAAAAAAGGTTTTTATAGCAAATTAAAGCCCAATAACTGGGTAATGATCCAATCTTAAGTTACTGGGAACAAGTTCTAGTTTTAGTATGAGAAAGATTCTGAAAGAATCTAATAAAGAAATTTCTAAAGCAGTTAAAGGCACATGGAGCAGATGATGTTATAGTATATGAATGAACAAACTGACTGCACTTGAATTTTGTCTTTATTCATTTATATACTTGGGTTAAAACATTTTTAATCCAGCATAATCAACAAAAAGTAATAAATGACATATCTTCCATTTATGACATTTAATTCATCAATATTTTTAATATCATAGCCTTAAACTATTTGATTTTACAAAACATTAAACATTTTAACTAAAAATTAATTTTTTATACAAATACTTCATTTTCAAGGCTTTCCAAAAGCCATAAAAATGAAACATCTGTTATCTTTACCTACTTCATTTCATCAACTCAGAGTTTAAATATTTAACCGCAGTTAAGAACTAGATGGGTGAATATAGCAACTAACAAGTTCCTATAATTATAGGATATGGGTAATTAAAAAAAAAAACACTTTTCCCCATATTTATTGCCAAAGTTTGCTATCATTAGCAGTTTAAGAGAGCTTATTAAAGCACCCAGGATGTCAAAGGGCTACTTCATAGACAAAACTATTGTGTAAGATATTTCTGATACCTCCTGTAATTCCTATCAATAGGGTAAAAAAACAGACTCAAGATACACAGCATTCCCGAGTTCCCAAAATGTGCGCTGAAGAATTCTAGGGTGCCAGTATAAAATCACAAGGGACTGTGGGGTAAAGTTTTAAGAGAAAGCACAGTGACACCTGTTGGACGCTGCACAAACTGCCATTGTTAACTTACTTGCACTTAACTACTTAATGAATGAAACGAAGAGGTACTTCTCTGGCCAAGAGGCACTGTGAAAAAAATTAATAAACCATTAAGGGTTCCACTGACTGAGAAAGTCCGGGGACTTCTGTAAACATTGTATACAATAAGACAGGCACTGAGATGACTGGTTATTGATTTCTGAGTCTAAAGTCGTAGCATCCAAGAATAGGGGTTGGAGAACTTTTCTGTAAAGGACCAGATTGTGAATTTTAGGCTTTGCAAACCATAGGATCTCTGTTTCAACTGTTCATCTACACTGTTGGACCAAAGTAGCCACAGGTAATACATAAGTGAATGAATGTGGCTATGTTCTAATAAAACTTCATTTAGGTACATTGAAATTTGAATTTGTGTCACAAAACATTCTTTTGATTTTCCCAACCATTTAAAAATATTAAAACCATTCTAATATGTGGGCTGTACAAAAACAGGTAGTGGGCCAGCTCTTGGCCCACGGACCATGGTTTGCCAATTCTTCACCTAGAACCTCCCCCAAACTGGAAATAAAGTTACTCCTCCAGGACAAATAGGTAACCTAACATTTACTGAATGGTACAACAGAAGCTAACATTGAATAGATGTTTGGTTCTATCAGGTTCTATCCTGTCAGGTTCTAAGCTTAAAAGTCTTTCACATGGGTAATCCTTGCAACCACCCAGTGAAATGCTATTATTACTGCTATTTTAGAGTTGAGAAAAATGAGGCAGTATTATCAATTTTGAAATGGACATTTGTTGCACTATAATGACTGATATATCTCCATTCTGCCTAATGTGAATTTGGATTTATTGCTTTCTGTGTTTCAAAGCTCCTTTCAATTTTACTTAATCTATAAATGAACATCTCTAAAATACTCAACTATACCCACTCCCTGAAACTCTTTTGACTTTTGTAAACAGTACACTGTTTTGACTTTCTTACTCTTCTGACCACCTTCGTTCTTGGTCTTTTTGCTGTTGTTAGCACAGTCCTGCAACATAAGCTTCTCAAGATTGTTTTCAGATCTCCTATCTTCCCTTTTTACTTTCTTCTCCTGCAGGAATAGGGTCTTCTATACTTCCTCAGGCTAAATATTAACAGTATTCAGCTTATTCTCAAATTTGTTATCTCTAGTTCAGCCTGACTCCTAAATTCGCAGTCCTGAGAATTTTTTTTTTTAAAGATTTTATTTATTTATTTGACACACAGAGAGAGATAGAGAGCACAAGCAGGGGGAGCAGCAGGCAGAGGGAGAGGGAGAAGCAGGCTCTCCGCTGAGCAAGGAGCCCGATGCGGGGCTCGATCCCAGGACCCTGGGAACGTGACCTGAGCCGAAGGCAGCCGCTTAACCGACTGAGCCACCCAGGAGCCCCAGCCAGTCCTAAATTTCTATTTACCTAGAGAATGAACTATCTAGAACTACAACTGGAACCTGAAACTCAACATATTTAGAATCAAACACCTTTATTTCCAAACTGGCTCACCCTCGGTTCCCTATTTCTGTTGGTAGCACAATAAATTTCTTCACTTCCCTATATTTGAAATTTCATAGTCCTGTTAGACTTCTTAGTCATCTCCCCCCATTTATAAATTAGATGCCAAGTCTCTGAATCTCCTTGTCCTTTATAAGACCACTGCCACTTCTCTACTCTATCATCTTGGGCAACTTCAATAACTTCCTTTTTTTAAATTTTTTATTTTTTTTCTAGGAGCAAAGAGATAATATATTAAGATTTGAACCCTCCTACACTGTTGGTGGGAATGCAAGCTGGTGCAGCCACTCTGGAAAACAGTATGGAGGTTCCTAAAAAGTTGAAAATAGAGCTACCCTACGACCCAGCAATTGCACTACTGGATATTTACCCCAAAGATACAAATGTAGGGACACCAAGGGGTACGTGCACCCCAATGTTTATAGCAGCAATGTCCACAATAGCCAAACTATGGAAAGAGCCAAGATGTCCATCATCAGATGAATGGATAAAGAAGATGTGGTGTATATATATACAATGCAATATTATGCAGCCATCAAAAGGAATGAAATCTTACCATTTGCAATGACATGGATGGAACTGGAGGGTATTATGCTGAGCGAAATAAGTCAGTCAGAGAAAGACATGTATCATATGACCTCACTGATATGAGGAATTCTTAATCTGAGGAATTCTTAATCTCAGGAAACAAACTGAGGGTTGCTGGAGTGGTGAGGGGTGGGAGGGATGGTGTGGCTGGGTGATAGACACTGGGGAGGGTATGTGCTATGGTGAACACTGTGAATTGTGTAAGACTGTTGAATCACAGACCTGTACCTCTGAAACAAATAATACATTATATGTTTTTTTAAAAAAAAGAATAAGAAGATAGAAGGAAGGAAAAAATGAAGGGGGGAAATCGGAGGGGGAGACAAGCCATGAGAGACTATGGACTCTTGAGAAACAAACTGAGGGTTCTAGAGGGGAGGGGGGTGGGGGGATGGGTTAGCCTGGTGATGGGTATTAAAGAGGGCACGTATTGAATGGAGCACTGGGTGTTATACGCAAACAATGAATCATGGAACACTACATCAAAAAAAATATGAAATGAAATCACTAAAAAAACTTTCTATTCGGGGTGCCTGGGTGGCTCAGTTGGTTAAGCGGCTGCCTTCGGCTCAGGTCATGATCCTGGAGTCCCAGGATCGAGTCCCACATCGGGCTCCCTGCTCAGCAGGGAGTCTGCTTCTCCCTCTGACCCTCCCCCGTCTCATGCTCTCTCTCTATCTCATTCTCTCTCTCAAATAAATTAAAAAAAAAAAACAACTTTCTATTCAATCTTCTCTCAATTAGCCTCCCTTCAAATACACCTGTATGTTGCTGCCCAATTAATATTCTCATGGCCCCGTTCAAACATTTTCAATGGTTCTCTACTATCTATCAAACTATAAAAATGTTACCATAGAAATGAAGACATTCCGGGGCGCCTGGGTGGCTCAGTTGGTTAAGCGACTGCCTTCGGCTCAGGTCATGATCCTGGAGTCCCGGGATTGAGTCCCGCATCGGGCTCCCTGCTCGGCAGGGAGTCTGCTTCTCCCTCTGACCCTCCTCCCTCTCATGCTCTCTGTCTCTCATTCTCTCTCTCAAATAAATAAATAAAATCTTTAAAAAAAAAAAAAAAAAGAAATGAAGACATTCCATAATTTGGCTTTACTTTGTATATGTACCCTATAAATCAACCAAACTACACAACTTATTTTTCCTGCAAAATATTTCACATTATCCCTACTTTGCTCACATTGTTTCTCATCTCTTCCTTTCAGTAAACTGTACAAACTCTCCTGTTAGTTGAAATACTACCTACTCATTCAAGATCTCAAATGTTCTAATTTTATTTCCTCAAATAAATACGATCTCTTCCATTTTTTCCCCAAGATAAACCGTCATTCTATATTTGTACACTTTTATTGGCATACATATGGCCACAGTACATAGTTTTTTATTAAATTACTATTACACTTATAATTGGATTCAACTAACCAAAACACTTAATTCTAAAAAAATTATGAATTTTTACCATCTAGTAAATACAGCTTACACTTACCAGAATTTATGTGCATACAGAAAAGTAGGTAATCTTTTTCAGAGATCGCAGCAATATTTATTTTGATTAAAGAGAGTATATAAACTTACTGTTTATAACAGTTTATAACTCTTTATAACAGTATATAAACTTACTGTTAATATTTTAAAGTTTACTTATTATTTTTTTTTAATAATCTCTACACCCATTGCAGTCTTTAAACTCATGACCCCGAGATCAAGAGTTGCATGCTCTCCTGACGGAGCCAGCCAGGTGCCCCTACTGTTAAAATTTTAAATCATAAAACCAAACTGATGGTTTTATAGGAAACATCTCCACAAATCACAGGCCTGGTCGCTCTTTAATCTTAGCTGAAGAGTTAAGAACTTAAGGGAAGATCATTTAAAGAGACTATATCTACATTTCTCTGTAGCTACCCTGAATTATTAGAGATAATAATAAGTGATATTTAATACTGTTTTAGAGCTTCCTGTTTTGTGATCTATTTCTTGCTGTGTGTGTGTATGCGCGTGCGTGATTTTTTTTTAAATTTTTTAAAAGATTTTATTTATTTATTTGACAGAGAGCACAAGCGGGGAGTGGCAGGCAGAGGGAGAGGGAGAAGCAGACTCCCCACTGAGCAGGGAGCCCAATGTGGGACTCGATCCCAGGACCCCGAGATCATGACCTGAGCTGAAGGCAGACGTTTAACTAACTGAGCCATCCAGGCGCCCCTGTGTGTGCATTTCTATACAGTTTATGCACTGGTGGAGGAAGCAAGAAAACTTAAGATACCTTTGTCTATATATCAAAACCAGAGTAGTGAGTGGGAACCTAAAAACAGAACTCTGAACTACAAAATCTTTTAATATGCATTTTACAGATTAACAATTCATCTAAGGAAATTCATCTGTTAGGACTCTAAGTTAAAGGGAAATTCTTGAAACTAACTTAGAAAACATTAAAATGCTAAATTAACATAAAAAGTATCACTTAACATAATAATGGGCTTTAAAAGTCATACAAAATAAGATTGCTCTAGCTATTAAAATAATACTTCAAATTATTTGTACGCCACAACTTTATTGATTAAAATAAAATTTGGCTACAAAACCTTAAGAACAAAGACTAAATAAATGTAATCTTCAAAGTAAGTTATGATACCTGAAACTGAGAATGAAATGGAGTTTCTACATATGCAAATCACAGAAAGCAGATAGTTGTTATTACATCAATTTAATTACAGAATCAGAAGTAGTTCTGAATAAGGATTTTTATAGCCAAGAGGTTACAGGCCTAACTCTAACAGTTATTATTACTTTAACAATTATTAAAAGTTATTAAGAGCAATTAAGTTATTAAATCGGGGCTATGCTTAAGAAAAATATAATTGATCAAAAGGAGTCTACTGCAATTATTTGACTATAGTAGTAAAGAGATCGCTTAGCTAAATACTCAAAAGAATGAGAGCCAGTTATTTGTGGCCAGATATTTCAGGGGATGGAGCTTTTGGGAACTTTTGATAATCCTATAATTTTAACAGTAAATCAAAAGAGCTAAAGTTTGGTACTCATTGAAGACATATACAAGGGCTCTAGAATTAAATAAAGTTTAAAACAGCCTATGGTGACTCCAGTTATAGCATGATAATCATCTTTAAAATTCTGCAGATTACCCCCAGAGAACTGCATTTTTAAGCATATATAATATAATTATTATCATATGAATGCAGGTTCTAGCTGAATTCAGGAAGCCCTCAATTATGGAATACAGAAGGTAAGATAAATCATTCATATATTTCCCTGATATTCAAAATGTACCACTGAAATCCATGCATTTCTACCACTAAGAACCCACATTATCACTTTCCTTAGCAAGAGTTTTAGAGGAAGATTATTACTAGCAGTATGGAGTTTCAAAAACTTCTCTAGTTTATTATTCTAAACATTTTGACCACTTGGAGCCAAATCCAAAGATTAACAAAACTGACAACGTAATAGAAACACTATGGGGATTTAAAATCAGTCCTCAAATCCATGCAAACCAAATAACGTCAGATAAGCAACAAAATAAGAAGTCCAAAGGCAGAGACACGACAGTTAAACACAATGTGCAATCCCTCAGTGGACCCTTGATTTGAAAAAACAAACAGAAAAACATTAGTAGGACAACTGAAAAAATCTTGACTACGGTTTATATATAATGAACATAGATAACAGTATTATACCAAAGTTAAATATCCTAAATAGGATCATTTTAGTATGGGAATGAAGGATAACGCTTTCGTATTTAGGAGATACATACTCAAGTATTTAGGGGTAAAGTGTTATGTTGATTGCACTCAATTCTTAAATGTTTCCACAAAAAAGTGTGTGTGTGTACACAGAGGGACATGAGTATGCTCATTAAAGATAAGTAAGGGTGGTTGGGAGAAGCCTTTAAAAAGAGACCAGTGGTAAACAAAACAAAACCTATAATCTTTGAGTTAAAAGAAGTACAGGTTCTGGATCAACACACACTTCTTGGGAAGCACTGTTTGGTGGAGAAAAGGAAGCAAAAGGACAGAGAACAAATGGGGAACAGAGTAAGGGAGAAGAGGAAGAAATAAAACTAACATTTTGAGAGCACTTAGTCACTAGCCAGGCTCTCTCTCTCAATCAAGGCTTATATAATGCTAATTTACTTTCTCTTTTTGTTTATTATTTTTGTTTTGCCTTTTCCCTGACAGATAAGGAAGACAGTAACTTGCTCAATGTCCTCACAATTAATAAGAGGTGGGGTCAGGAGCGGATCTCTGGTTTGTCTGACATCGGAGATCATGCTCTTACTGGCATACCATACTTGCATGCCTGGTGCTTTGTACAGAGTTAGAAAATCTAGATGCTAGCTCTCTCATTGACTTATGATAGTACTTTTTGTGCTTAACTGTGAAATTATCAAAATGCGCCTTTACTTACCAGGGATAAAGGATATAAAACCCATGTTTCTCAAAAGTTCAACAGAAATAAAAACTACCATGACCATTATCATTAGTTTTCATATGCAAACTAATACTTTAAAAAGTATTTTTTAAAAAGAATACGGTTCAAAGGAAATCTCAAATTATAAAATATATTCTTATTCTAAACCTTAAATATTTTTGGAATAAACCATAAAAATTTAAGAACTGTCTTAATGCTTTAGTACTTAAACAGAATATATGTATTTTTAGCAAACACAGTTTTGGCTTACCTTTTTCATAGGTGATGTAGGTGTTGCCTGACCAGATGACACAGGTGTTGTAACAGCTACAGGAGCTGCTTGTGTACTAGAAGTATTGGCATTAGTTACAGAAGCCATGGGCTTTGTCTTATCTATTACCAAAACATGAAAAACATGGAGTCAAGATTCAGTATGGATTGTTTCAATGTCTAGAAAAATAGTATTTTATATTCATTTTTGTTTAAGGTTTTGTTAATTCAAGTCTTTTCCATTTTTTTCCCCCTTTTAACAAGTGAATTTTTCAAGGAGTTTCTAGAAATGTCTCAATATGCATGCAGAAACAAATAACAGAACATGAGGACACAACAAAGCTTCTAAGAATAAAAAGCAAATCCAGAATCTGATTTTCATACTTTTAACACTATAGAAATACAAAAAAATTAATATTTAAAAGCTGAATGCAGGATGCCTGGGTGGCTCAGCCGGTTAAGTGTCTGCCTTCAGCTCAGGTCATGATCCCAGGGTTCATGAACACGGACTGATTCATGAGTCTAATTGTATTTGTGGTTAATTTATTTAACCCCCATCGGGCTCCCTGCTCAGCGGAGAGCCTGCTTCTCCCTCTCCCTGCCACTCCCCCGCTGCTTGTGCTCTCTCTTTCTCTCTGACAAATAAATAAAATCTTAAAAAAAAAAAAAAAAAGCTGAATGCATGAATACAGTGCAACTAAAAAGATTACAAGAGCTATACAATTTTTCTAATAGATCTACAATTTACATTGTTTATTTAAAACTCATAGTTCTTCTTTATTCCAGGAAATCTAAAAAGTGCTTTTTGGCAATAATCAGCTTATATTCCTGTCAAATAGCATGTTAAATGTCACAAAGAGCATATTTGCTCACCCCTAAAAAGTCCAATCTTAAACCAGAATATTAGTTGATTTAAGATTAAATCTCTTTTCACAATGTATTGAGACAATTTCCAACTAACAATGAAGCACTTGGAAAAACGTTTTTGAAAACATCGATGCCAGAAAAGATTCAGACTGTATTTGAACACATATTTTTAAAGATTTACTTATTTGAGAGAGAGAGCACACGCACACGAGTGTGAGAGGGAGAGAGAATCTCAAGCAGACTCCACGCTGAGCACAAAGCCTGACACAGGGCTTGATCTCACAACCCTGATACCACCACCTGAGTCAGATGCTTAACCGACTGCATGACCCAGGTGCCCCTATATTTGAACACAGAAATCAGACTGGCTTTTAGCAAAAACAGTTACCTATAAATTTAAATCTATAAATTAACTGTAATTTATAAATGGGCCAGAAAGGCTTACTTTTCAAATGGTCAAAGATCATTTATCTAGTTTTAAAATAGTCCTTTGGTTTCAAAATGAGGAAGGACAGGTATTCTTCTATACTTTTGAGAAGAAGTATAGTACTTTAAAACTCTATGAGATACTCATTTTCATTATATTCATATTCATTAAACCTCTCTCTCCCTTAGGTCAGTTTCCTAAAATAATTTTCCACCTTATCATTATTGTATGCCATTATACTTTATAAGTAGACAATATTAAAATATAATTATCTTTAGGGCTATATATACACATGTATAAACACCAAATAGTTCTGAATTGATTCATTCAATTCTATTTGTGACTAAGAAAATACCCACAAGATGTTAATAGGGTGAAAAGCATAATATCTCAAACCATACCAAAGAACAAGGCGAAAGTGGCTCATTTAAAAACCACTATGATCTTAGCTTTTTGAATAAATTGAATGAGCTAACCACAGTCTAATAAACTTTATTCTCAGTGTTAAACAATACCTCTTTTCATTCAATAGAAGCTAAGCCTATTCAGTACAATTTAAGTACAAATCATGCACAATCTATTAGACCATCATCCTGGAAAACAGTCTACCTAACTGGAGAGAGTAATTCAACAAATATTTTTAAATGTCTCCATATTTCAAGTACTAGGTACTGCGTCCTACTGTCCTAGGTAGGTACTGGGGATATACCAGTTGATGAAAAACCAAAATATCTTAACCGCATACAGCTTACAGTCTAGTAGGAAAAATAAACAACAAACAAGATAAAATTCAAGATTTTTTTTCCTTTTATTTTCTCTTTTTTCCTTTTGGTTTAAATATTTGCTATATATAGTATCCATTTAAAGCAGGAAAAATCGGAGAAATCTGAGATTAGAGAAATCTGAGATTAAATAAATTAACCACAAATACAATTACACTCATGAATCAGTCCGTGTTCTTAAACACTGTGCATGCTCATTCTCATATAATTTATTTTTATAATTAGAAATACTTTAATTAGCATGTCATAAAAAAGAGTTATAATATTCAATGACTACCTGGTTGCTTTAGTTTCCAATTTTACCTATACTCTCACCAAGACAAAAGATATGCTGACTCACCTGACCAGCAATATGACAGTAATAAATTAAAAATTATATCCCTGGTGACTAGAATCTAGACATTCACATATCTCAAAAACACTTTGTGTTTTACCAAAAAATAATTTACTTGTAGGATTAGTAAACTTTAAAAAAACAAAGGAATTTAAGACACAGTACCTGGCAACAAAGCTAGCCTTTATCTGTTTAATAACATTTTGTTTTTAATGGGAAAAGATAATCACTATCTTTTTTGATGTGCGTTTACTTAGTAAACTTTAGTTTCCCGTATTTTCTTAGGTGAAATATTTTGCTGAGTGAGTAAAAATAAAATGATCCAGAACTGTTGCTGTGTCTAGAGGAAATACAGGGAGCCCAAGAAATTCTAGGGCTTCATTTCTATTTACTGATGACCACCATACTGGTCCTGATAATTTTTTCTTTTTTTTTTTCTTTTTGATCAAAAATCTTAACGGAAATGGACTATTTTTTCTGATAAATTTACATGTTAAAATATCAGGTTATACAACTCAAAGATGGCAATACTGGAATTTCACACTGGTCTGAAGATGTGAATGATTAACCGATGCAGAGTAAGAAAATAAATGTTATTTAATAAAAGCACTCTGGCAAATAAAATGTATAAAACCATGTGGGCCAGATGAAGCAATGCAATGCAGAAACCATACCCCGATAATAAAAAAGAAAAGAATGTAAATTGTGATAGTGACTTTGTAAAGAAATTTGGCAACATCCATGAAAACTGAAAATGTGACACAATAACTCCATTTTTAAGTATATACCTAGTAGAATATCTCTTACCTATGTACATAAGGAGACAATTGCACAAATGATCACCATGGCATTATTTGTCAACAATGGAAAAATGGGAATAAGATAAATTTTTATCAGAAGGGAAACAGATGTATTTAATGAATACTATACAACAACTAGAGGGGTAAGTTATGTAGGTAAAGATACAGATAGATGTAGGGGCGCCTGGGTGGCTCAGTCGTTGGGCGTCTGCCTTTGGCTCGGGTCGTGATCCCAGGGTCCTGGGATCGAGCCCCGCATCGGGCTCCCTGCACCACAGGGAGGCCTGCTTCTCCCTGTCCCCCCCCTCCCCCTGCTTGTGTTTCCTCTCTCGCTATGTCTCTCTCTGTCAAATAAATAAATAAAATCTTTAAAAAAAAAAGAAAAGATACAGATAGATGTAAACAAATCTAAAAGTTACAACTTTTGAGTGAAAAAAAAAAGCAAGTTGCCTAACAACTTCTAGGTATAAAAATGAAAACACAAAACTGTCCTATAATTACTATATATTACTTCTGAATGTATAAGATATGAGTATAAAATGGACTGGAAGATAAAAGAAAAAACTCAAGACAGTGATTGACTTTGGGAAGAAAGGAAAGGGAAGCAGACTAGGGTTAATGGTTAAAGGAGACAACTGTAATTTTTAAAATTTTATTATAAGAAAAATTTGAAGAAAACATAGCTAAATGTCAGCAGCTGTTCATTCTTGGTAGTTGGAATATGAAGGTGTATTTTTTTTTTTTTAAGATTATTTATTTATTTATTTGACAGAGAGAGACACAGCGAGAGAGGGAACACAAGCAGAGGGAGTGGGAGAGGGAGAAGCAGGCTCCCCGCCAAGCAGGGAGCCCAATGCGGGGCTCGATCCCAGGACCCTGGGATCATGACCTGAGCCGAAAGCAGACGCTTAACGACCGAGCCACCCAGGCGCCCCTGAAGGTGTATTATACTTTCCTGTATCTTCAAAATTTCTTGAAACAAAGCAAATTTCTCCACACCCCACAGGAAAGTATCTTGATTCAGCCTCAACTTTCTAAAATTTTACTATTGCTTAGGGAATATTTGGGATGATACTGGAACCAACTTCCTGGATTGTTGAGCCTCAGAAAGTATCAGAAGCATTCTTGAATTGCTGGGAGCCCATTCATACCCTATCTGTACCATCCTAAGGGAATCTTCACCTTCTTCAAACCTAAAAATACAGTTCAGCAAAACGCAGAGGTAAGTAAGAACCTCCAGGTCATTAGAGAACAATAAATTCACAACTATACTCAAGTTTCTAATACTCCCCGGAAGATAATTTACTGGCTTGGCAGGTATCTGAACAAGTAGCAAATCAGTCAGTAAAGTTTCAAAAGCCTGATTAAAGCCTGATCTTATCTTATTTTACAATGCATCAAAATTCACTGAAAATCCCATTATGCTTCAAAGTTTACCTGTTTCAGCTTCTGATTCTGAGTCATCTTCTTCATCTTCTTCACTAGAGCAGCTAGATTCATCTTTCTTTCCTTCTTCTTCATCATCAACTTTTTCTTGTTCCAGAGATTCAATACGGGATGCATTTTTCTCTGGCTCAATAATCAGTGTCTCTTTGCTGTGAAAGGAAAATAGTTTTCAAAAGATTAAAAACACAAAAGACCAAAAAACACTAATTCTTCTCAGATCCACAAAATCTAATAATCATGTCTATGGCCATCATGCCAATTCATTCATAATAACAAAACCTATTTTAGTATTTTACTTACTTTTTAAAGGTCTTCTGTGACTGATTATTATCCATATTGGCTGTTGATTCAATTAGTGGAGATTTCTTCTCCCGTTTTTCACTATGCAGCTTTATAAAAGTTATGGAAAGGAAAATAATATTATTAAAATAGTATTAATGAGTAAAATACAGAATTTGAAATAACAACAAAGTAGTTTTCAAAACATGAAACAAAACCAAAACAAAACAAAGATTTAAGTTTTTCCTGAAAAAAAAAGGGGGGGCTGGCTTGGATAAAGAATAAAGAGGACTAAATAGTTAAAAAGCTAGGTGAAGGACAAAGTTGGATTTTTTACATCCCTCCAACCATAAATCACTGACAAAGTCAGGATCCATTAGCCACTTAGGATGTCTGATGATATTTTTTACTTAAAAATCTCTTTCCTACCTACATAACTTCTTCTTCATCCAGGGCCTGCTATTTTAGAAACCTGAGATTTTATAGCCTCCACCTTCTAAGCAAACTTTATTATGAAATTACAAAAATATGTTATTTTTGAGTAGGTACATTATAGAAGTATTCATTTTGTGAAGAGGAGGTAAGAGAAATGGGGACAAGCAATACAAAAGGCTGAACACTACCACGATTCCTTTATTCTCTTTCACCGTCATTTGGTTTGACTGTCAGGAATAACTTAAAACCAAAAAGTATAAAATATCACAAAAATACTTTTTTAGCTGTCTGAAAGTTAAAGCTATTAGGAAAATTCACTAATACAGACAATTTTTAGACAGTCATCAAACATACCAGATTTTGTTTCTTTTGCAATTCTTCTAAATATCCTAAAATATCCTCATCTGCTACATCAAACGCTGTCTGGCCCTGGGTAGGAAACAAAGGGGGTTGGTGACGGTAAAAAGTCAATAAACTATAAGACACCTTTGGTGATTCTGTATAATTATACAAAAAGAAGTTAGATAACATTTTGTTATGTACGTAATTTGTTATGTATGTAGTAATACAACAGTATATGACTTAAAGGAGGTATATAAGAAATCCATGTGAGAGATGCAGCTGATACACCTCCCCTTACTTTCTTTGGTAACAGCTTTATTGACATAAAACTCACCATACAAAAAGCCATTTAAGCACTGGGTGTTACATGAAAACATTAAATCGTGCATCACCGCATCAAAAACTAATGATATGGTGGAGTATGGTGACTAACATAACATAATAAAATTAAAAAAAAAATAAAGTGTACAACTGTATATTCATAGAGTATTACAACCTTCACCATTAACAACATAGGACATTTTCATCACCCCAAAAAGAAATGATCTCCCCACTTTTCTCATCTCCCTTCCCAACCCTCCAGCCCAAGGCAACAACTAACCTATGTACTGTTACTACAAATTTGCCTGTTCTGAACATTTCATATAAATGGAATCATACAATATGTGGTCCTTTGTGACTGGCTTCTTTCACTTTGTATGTCTTCAAGTTTCATCCATGTTGCCACATATAGCACTAACTTCAATCCTTCTTATTGTCGAGTAACAGTCCATTGCTTGACATACCACATGTGCTAATCTATTTGTCAGTTGATGGATATTTGCTTTTGCTTTCTGCTTTTTGGTTATATATAATAAATAATACTGCTATGAACATTTGTACACAAGCTTTTGAGTGAACATTTGTTTTCATTTTCTTGGGGATACAGCTCTAGGTAAAATTACCAGATCATGTGGTAACTCCATGTTTAACCTTTCGAGGCCTTTTTTCTTTTTATTACAGCCATAAAAATTAACTAAAGTCTTAACAGAGTAACAAAATAAAAATATATATTTCTAAACTGCTTAAAGTTCAGCCAGCCACAGGTATGCCTCAGTTTCAAATATTAGTTCAGATGAACATCTGTCAATCTATTTTTATTCACTGTGGAAAAGAAAATTCCAAGAGTTGCTGACCAAACATACTAAGGTTTTCTCCTGTTGCTTGCATTTGTCCTTATAATAACCCTACTGGTACAGGTTTCCAGAATGTCAAAAAAGGTCGTTATTAGAATACATTCTACTTTATATGTTGGCCGGTATATGATCCTTTCTCAGAAAAAAATTCTACTTTTTTTCAACTAGAAAATATATCATTCTGAAAGGCAATTCAAATTTCTTTCATAAAAGGCGTCTCACAGCTACAAAAAAGCCAGATGAGTAGATAATAACGACTTCTAAAATCACAAAAACTCTTCCATTAAAAAACAAATCTAGGGGCGCCTGGGTGGCTCAGTTGGTTAAGCAGCTGCTTTCAGCTCAGGTCATGATCCCAGGGTCCTGGGATCGAGCCCCGCGTCGGGCTCCCTGCTCAGCGGGGAGCCTGCTTCTCCTTCTCCCTCTGCCTGCCTCTCTGCCTACTTGTGCTCTATCTCTCTGTCAAATAAATAAATAAAATATTAAAAAACAAACAAGCAAACAAACAAATCTAAAACCCTCAATTCTAGACCAACATTAGGATGTTGCCATCTACTTGGACAGGAGTTACATTTCCCAGCACTACAAAATGAAATATAAGCTACCCAATATCTGAGCTGGTTTTTCCATTGTCTGTTTATAAAATAAAAAATATGGTCTATGAAATGTATCCTAAAATACACGAAATGCTACTTTATCAAGATAGGGGAATGTATGCATGTAAAATTTACAGGATTCAAAAACACTTACATATCTGCCTTTTCTTGTTAGAAAAGCTTCCCAGCAAGAATTTAAGAACCAATCTATCCTTTCCCATTCAGTCCAGGAGAAAATGTTCTAGCTTTAATAAACCTTTCCCCCTATTTCAACCTTCAGTATTAAATGCTAAGAATTAAATTCCTGAAGAATAAGTGGCTCTGAAACAAAATAATTGGCTCAAATTTTGAGGGTGCCCTTTAGATTAGAAACACATGTTAATCCATTTTGCTATATCATAGTCTCTTTGTATAATTAGTTTTATAATGTTACACATGCTACGTTATACAAATTGTTTTCAAGATCAGGTTAAGTGAAAATAACTCACTGGCTTCTTTTTAAGTATTATTTTAAGCATTTATCAACCCTTCTCATGAATGAAATACTGCACCTTAAAAATTTTTTTGAATTGTAATTTAACTTTGGCAGTGGTTAAATGCAATGGGGTTATTTTAGTGACCAAGGAATTTTCCTTTATAAGAATAAGAAACTGGATCACCTTACTAACCTTTTTTTTCACTTTCTCCCTTGATAAAGGAGTCTACTCTGCAAACAGCAGCTGACAGAGAATAAAAACTAGAGTAAAATGCAGGCTATAAGCAGAGAAAAGTTCCTCATTTCAGAAAAGCAGACCCTCAATTTAACCATGCTCATTAAACAATAGGACAGTTACGAAGGTAGCCAATTGTAAAGTTATAAGCGTGACCTGGTTCTTAATTACTGTAAGGCTACTATGCTTTGTTAACGGAATGCTAACACAGTAGGGCATATAAACAGAATCACGCAACGTAACCAAGAAATAATGGAGGAGGGTACAATGCTGAGGTATGAGAAAATAAGAACTCTTTTCAATCAAGAAAACAATCTTAAAAAAAAATTACTGCTTAAAAAAATCAGTTTTCAATACATCTGTAAATTACCAGAAGCACACTAGAGCTACTGTTTAAGTCTAACCTCATAGACTCTTCATTCCTTCCTCACTTATTCTAACTGAATTGCTTTTAGAGGTGTGATCTCTCTTCATTTTCACAACAACCAGTGAAGTAGTCAGGACAAGCATTATGATTCCCATTGTACAGACGAGGAAACCTAGGCTGAGTGTATGGCATTTGCTCAAGGTCATGCAGGCAATGAAGGGAAAGCGGGAATAGAATCTAAGTCTCTAATGCTCCACTGTCTTGACAGAAAATAAGAATAAGCTCAGATAAAAGCAGGGAAAAAAAAATCTGTGTGCCCATTAAGCAGAAGCAGTTTTGTTATTCACTTAAATCTTTGTAATAACGGCTATCAAACTAAAAAGCTGTCTACCAATCATTGTCATATTGCATTAAAAGAAAATTCCAATTAGAAAAACATCTTAGTTAATATTTAAAAAGGGACAATATTTGGGTATACTCTAGTAAAACAATTATTTTAATTAAGAAAAAAATTAAAAATCTTGATATTTAAAGTCTGTATCACATAATTTATAATAATGAGTTAAAATGACAGCAAATGTCTTACAACAAGTTAAAGAAACAAGACCAAAATCTCTATTTTAAGAACACTTCTCCCATTTTTATGTAGAAAGACTTTCAAATTTTCTATATGATTTGTTGCATTTTCTATATTATACATTTACCAAAATTATATTTTCTAATAGTAAAGAATTCATCTAAATCCTTAAAGTTCTATAAGTACTCTTTGATATCATTTTTAAAAGAAATTTACTAAAAATCTTCAATCCACAAGTACTGACGGTATCAAATGACAAGATAAATTCACTTAAGCAGGCTTACACAATAAAGACTAATTTTGATTGATATGAAGTATGACATATTTTTTTAAAATGCAGCCAATGATAACAGAAAGACTAACTCACACAGGCAAAATTATAAAATTAAAATTTTAAAAATTAAAAGTCTTGTAAAAATATCTTCCATTACTATAGAATACAGTCTCCCTCCCAACAACAAAAATGCTTGCATTTTGATATCCTTATGGCATAAAGGCCTTTAGAATGCTATATACATTATTTGCGTCTCACTATTAAAAGATGTCTTTAAAATCCTGATATTTTAAAAGAAAAATCCAATTTTGATAAAAATTTTAAAGTCATATTTTTACAACTTATGAGTTAGTATCTGGAAAAATAAAACATGAGAAATCAAAAACTAAGAAAAATCTGCAGAGGAACTTAGCAGAAAAATTAGTCTTTTTTATTAAGAGATTTATTTATTTCAGAAAGAGAGAGCAAGGGAGAGCCCATGCACATGAGTGGGGGGAGGGGCAGAGGGAGAGAATCTCAAGCAGATTTCCAGCTAAGTGCAGAGCCCAGTGCAGGGCTCGATCTCATGACCCATGAGATCATGACCTAAGCCAGGACCAAGAGTTGGACGCTTAACTGACTGAACCACCCAGGCGCCCCCAGAATAAATTATTCTTACTTATTTATTAGGGTTTTAAGAAAATCACTTGACTTCTCTGATCATGTTCTCAAATCCACGTAACTCTGATAACAACTTTGTAGGGTTGAAAACTATAAAATTCTAAGGAACTATTAGGCATAATGCTTTTAAGATACTATAAAGATATACTGAAATGATGAAATGAGGGGATAAGATATAAAAATTTAGGATGACACAAAAAACTGCTACTATAGTAAGACAGAAACAAAAGGAGATAAAGAAAAATTATTTATACGCAGTCCTTCTCCTAGAGCATAATTATGATGAACTGTATGGCATAGGAATTAATTTTAGAACAGATACAAGATAAAATAATTTTTTTCAGGGCGCCTGGGTGGCTCAGTTAGTTAAGCGACTGCCTTCGGCTCAGGTCATGATCCTGGAGTCCCGGGATCGAGTCCCGCATCGGGCTCCCTGCTCAGCAGGAAGTCTGCTTCTCCCTCTGACCCTCCCCCCCTCTCATGTGCTCTCTCTCTCTCTCTCAAATAAATAAAACCTTTAAAAAAAAAAAATTTTTTTTTTTCATACATACTATATATTGTCTATGAATCACTACCAAAACATAACATGTTTAAACTGGAAAATGATACAATATTTTTGGAAAACCATTTCCATTAATAAGCTTCTCTCTCCTGGTCCTTATCTGGAGGCCACTACCAATGAATGAACCAATTATCAGTACTGTCCATGTCAATGAACAAGTGGCCTTTAAGGGACACTGTTTGGGAGAGAGACAGGAATGCAGAACAGACATTAGAACATAAGAGGTATTTACTAATTTCTTCAGAAAAATTCCAACTCCTGGGGGAATTTCTACACTAAGGAGAGGAAGTATGAATTGCCAAGCTAAAATTAGCTGGCTTTTTAACTTAAAATTTAACAGTATCAACATTTATTTGTCTTCTAATACTGATTACAAAACAGAAAACTATTATAATAAAAAACAATAGAGAAATCAAATTACCAAAATTTTTGACTACAAAATTAAATACTTATATAAAAACAAACTTATATTCTCAAACATCTGGATCACTCTCAAACATTTTTTATTTTGATTTTCCTGAAGATTTTAATCACTTCTAGGACTTTAACTTGCCTGCATATTTCTTACTTGAAACACATTTATAAATACATACATGAAATGCTCCAGAAAGAGCAAAGGAGTTCAGAGGGCTTCTTTATCACTTTACGCCAGCAACTAGGACATGAATCTGCACTACTACCTCAACCCAAACATCCACAGGAAAATACTGGGCATATGGTATATCATATTTGTTCTCTTCCCTTTGCAGATCCCCGATTAGAAACTGCAGTTAATCAGAGTGTAATCAGCACCAGCACTTATATTGATGGACACAGGAGAATCAGACAGTGCCATCTGAATAAAGATGAGATCATTTTAGGAACCTCTGCTAAGTAATCTACTATGTTATCTTATAAAATGCAATATATAAGGGATATTCTAGGGAAGTTAAGGGTAATCAAGTTCACTAGAGGAGATGTATTTTAAGCTCTGCAGCTGTTGGCAGATGATAAGAATCATGAACACAGAATAGGAGGAACTAATAGGAATACTGGTGACACTGGTAACTGACTGATGGTGCTTAGAAGGGAGTAAAGGAAAAAATATCTGATCTAATAAGGAATCTGATAACCTGAGTCTGTTCATGATTTTATAAAAAAACACTTAGATGACATTCACGCCTTCTTTCCCTCTACCAAAGTGGATGATTTTTTTTTTATGCAAAACTAATACAATCCTTGTAATTGGTCAAACTGGGTGACATTAAGTAAAACTTTTACCTCATAAATGGTTTTCTCATCACAAAACTAGGACTAGATGTTGCATCTCAATTATTTTATTTGGGATAAAACTTTATGGTTTTTACTAGTCTCACATGCTGTAAGACCCCACTATCCATGTCATTTAAAAAGCTACTATAAGCAAGCTGTTAAAAGACTATCAGCTAAAGAGAAATAGAAATATATTTCTGTATGTGTTCTAACTCAGAGTGATGGGAGAAAACATTCGCAGAGAAATGCAAAATTTTCTTAATTTTTGAGTTCCCAAGTACTCAAATCTATCATGTATGGTAATATGATTACTCAAAGAGTAATACTTCTTTCTTTGAGGAACAAGGCCAAAACCACCTCACAGGTATTTGAGAAAGACTTAAACAATTAATAATAAAAATCAATAAATGGTTGATAAAATGTTGTTTTATACAGTTCATACAACTTAATACAATTATAGAATTTATATTCCAACATTTTTGAGACTTCTAAAACCTTTATTTCTAAAACTTAAATATTTAAAATACATACTGGATATTTCTAAGAATTTAAATATTTAAAATACATTTAAAAGGCCTACCACTTTGTTGACCATCTCCATATCACATAGATTGTCCACTAAAATTCGACATGCTTCCTCTTTACCCCAGTGAGCAGCAGCATGAAGAGGTGTCCAGCCATCATAATCCTTAATATTAACATCATAGCCTGCCTGTATTAAAAGTCTAAAGAAATTACAGTGAATTAGATAATCATTAATAAATCTAAAAATGAGCAAACATAATCATTAGCTTTATACCATGCAAGTTAACAGAAATTTGTGATGTATTTCTTTTCCTAGTTCACATCTTCCCCCTTCCCAGTTCACATCTTCTCCCTTCCCTTCAATGAATTAACTAGGACAAAAGAAAATAATTTTCAGAAAACACTGGCAATGAGGATCTTGAATTACTGCCATAATAATGCATTCAACTTTAATTAATTCCTAATGACTAATAAGTCTTATGGTTTGGTGAAACACTTATTAATTCTTGTTATTATGAATTATAGTTGAAATTTTCATAGGAAAGCCAATAATTTTTCAATGTGAACTCAAAAACTCCTGGATCAATTTGTATGTTAAACTGATTTATTGAGGGAATGTCTTCAGGTGTCCATATAACATATCATCGCAAGCTAAATATGTTCTAAAAATATACTGGGATCAAACAAATTTATTTTATAGTTTTTCTGTTGCCTTGCAGTTGAGGAACTAGTTTGTGAAAACTTTCACAAACCTTAATGATCTACCATGGGTAATTTTCATAGGAAAATGACAATCTGTTAGGAACAAAACAAAGCAAAACAAATATTCGAGGGGTCGATTCTACTTTTCTGCAGCAGTAGAAAGCAGATATTCTAATTATCAACAAAGCTAGAAAAGAGGAATACATTTTAATACAATGCAAAGAACTGTATAAATTATGTTAGTATGCCCTCCTAACTGTATATTGACATTAACCTTTATTTTATTTAGAAATTAAGCTCAGAGAGCAAAGAATATAGGTCTATAAATTGCACATAACACAGCCTCACACACACAGGCAGACAGTAAATACTTTATAACTCATGAAATCTGGTTGACCTTTACCTTACTTTCCAAGAAGTTGAGCTTGAGAAGGGCTTCTTTTTACCTACAGGAGGTGGTAGTGATAGCTAATACATAACCCTTCATTTATTTATATTTCACGAACTGATCCCCTATTTCCTAAGAATATCTAAAGCAGCCATTTCCAATTCTGGATCCAAAAAAAACCATCTTAAGAGCTTATTTAAAAAAAAAAAAAAAAGAAAATTCCCCAACTCCACCACAGTCCTATGGAATTAAGCAGCATACTGGGAGATGGGCTCTGCCAATTTATATTTTTAGTAAGTCCCGTTACCTGCCTGTAGACCAACATTTAAGAGCCTCCAATCTAAAGAACAAGCTAACAGCTGAAAGTTAAAAAAAAAAAGTCCATTAACATATATTATCAGAAACTTTATTAAGAGTTTAATAAAGAGACAGAATACTAGAAGATATAAAAATATATAAAAGATAAAAAATATATCCCCCATTAGAAAATATGAACTATAATGTTAAATATTTTTTTTTAAAGCTTTATTTTTTTTAAAGATTTTATTTATTTATTTGAGAGAGAGAATGAGAGAGAGAGAGAGAGCACAAGAAGGGGGAGGGTCAGAGGGAGAAGCGGACTCCCTGCTAAGCAAGGAGCCCGATGTGGGACTCGATCCAGGGACTCCAGGATCATGACCTGAGCCGAAGGCAGTCGCTTAACCAACTGAGCCACCCAGGCGCCCCATATAATGTTAAATATTCTGAGTGACAAAAATTATAAGTACTTGGGAGTCTATGTGGAGAGGCAAGACAGAAAGGTAGAAAATTTTTTTTCCCCCAATAAACATATGGCTCTCTCTATATGCCAGGCCACACAATACTCAAAATAATAAGACAGTGTTTATTATATTCAAGGAGCTTCAAATGGAGGACAAAGGTCAAGAAAACAATCAACCCTCAAAGACAGTTTCTGTGATAGAGATGCAAAGGCAGTACAGAGTTGAAAAGCATGAAGATCAATTGAAAGGGGTTGTGTATGTGGGGAAAGTGATAGGGGTAACAAGTGGGGAGAAGTTACATTTGAAACCAATATCTTCTATTTATTTTTCACTTCATACATATTTTTACTTATTTTCATAAGTAATATATTTACGAAGTTCAAAAATAAAAAAGAATAAATGGCTATATAGGGAAGTCACACTCCCACTGCTGACCTTTAGCCAACCAGTTTCCCCTCCCTTATATAACTGTACTACTAAATTTGATTGGATCCTTAGAGAGATTTTATGTATATATCAGCATATACAATTAAAAAAATTTTTTTTCTTAAAGATTTTAACTTTAAGTAACCTATACACCCAACATGGGGCTCAAAACCACAACCCTGAGACCAAGAGTTGTATGTTCCACCGACTGAGCCAGCCAGATGCCCCTAAAATTTTAAAATATAAACACAAATGATGAATACTTCTGTCCTTGTTTTTTTTTTTAAAGTTAATACATCCTAGTGCTCCTTCTATATCTATATATAGTGTTTTAATTGCTACAAGAGTATTCACTGAAAGGAGGTATCAAATTTATTCAACATTCTCCTACTCCTATTATAAATAACGCTGTTACCACATACCTTATTTCCTGTGAGAATATCTGTAAAAAAAAATTTCTAGAGGTAGAACTAACTGCTAAGCCAAAGAATAACTGTTACTTTTATAGAATCTGTTCAACTGTCATACTTTCACCAGTAATGTAAGAGTGCCTTTTCCCCAACCTTGCCAACACAGTGTGCCAACATTTCAATCTTTGCCAATATGACAGATGAAAAATGGTAATTCATTGTAGCTTTATCTGTACTTATTATGAATAAGGTTGAACATGTGTTTTTCATAGGCTTAAGAACCTTGAACTGAGTCAAAGGATCGAAAGGAATTTGCCTCCAAGTTGAAGAGATGGTGAATGAGGTATCTAGACAGAAACAAAGCAGGCATTAAGACATCATGACAGAACTTCAAGTAGATATATATATATATATAGTTGGAATAATGCATGCCTGAGGAGCAATGGTAGCAGCTTAGCTTAAAAGAGGATGACTTATGGTCTTATGTACTAATTTGAGGAGTTTAAAATATATCTCAATCCCCACTGAGAATCTTAATAAAGAATTTTAAGAGCCTAGATAACCTAATTACAAAGACCACTCGGAAGCTGTCTAGAAAACTATTTTACAGTGCAACTAGTACTCAAAAAATATTACCTTTACCATATGCAATTCTCTAATATTTCAATTTTTTTTTTTAAAAAAAAAATGCTGTTGTCAAGTCACTAAGTTCATTTGTGACCTAATGGCGTCTGAAAGTTTGCTAAGTTTTGGATTAAAGAGAGAAACACAGAGGACAAGAAGAGGTAATTAAAAGTTAACTGGACTATTCTAGAAGGCTTCAGTTATTGAAGTGAGTAGGGACTGAAAAAAAGGAGAAAACTTGGGAATAGCTGACCCAGTTAAACTTAACTGTTTTTACTGAGAAGGTGAAATAAAGAGAATAGTTTGATATTAGAAGCTCCAGTGAAACATAACAACATAAAGGGTGCAGAAGATTTTGCTGAGGGCTAGTCTTAATTCCTTTCAGATACATATAACAAAAGTTACCCACTGAATTGTGTTTTTCATATGGCTGCCAACACCTTTGCACTGCATAAGTAAAAGAAAAAAATTTATTGTGATGTAAAAGAGCTTTGTTTCAAGGAAATTTGTGGATCAATACATAGACCTATAAAGTCTCAGTTGCTCATGGCTTGATATTTATTATTATGCTAAAAGCACTCTGAGTCCCAGCGTTATGTAGTAAAAAGAAAACTGCATTTTAGATAAATTACATGTAAATGAATATTCATTAGGAATCAAGCTCTCTGAATTTGATGATTATGTTATATAGAATACTGTTCTTAGTCTCAGTAACCAGAGTTAGCCAATCTGGGAAGCTCAAAATGACTTTGTAGTAATTTACCAACCCAGATGGTAACATATAATGGTTGTCTGACACTTTGACGTAGTGGAAAATTGCAACCAAAGAAAATAATCAAAATTCAAGAGTAAAGAAAGAGCCTTAGAAATAAAGCAGTAATATTCAAGGTAGTTTTCTCTTTCTCCTATAAACAGACATTAAATAACTTTTATAAACTGTTTCAAAATAATGTCTGCAGGTATCTTAAGAAAAGGAACAAGAAATAAAGAAAGTAAACCAAATTAGAAAAATGACTGTGAAAAACAATACTTACTTTAAAACTTCTGTATAGCCTTTAGCAGCTGCAACGTGAAGTGCTGTCCCTCCAGATTTTGCATGCCGGACATCATTTATGTGACCACTATTTAGCCACTGTCTTGCATCTCTAAGCATTATCCGTTCTTCTTCTTTTCGAGCTGCTTCTATATCAACCCCTGATAAAATAAATATTGCTTTTATTTTTTCTTTATAGAAAATGTTCTATGTTGGGAAATAAAATTATTCAAAACATTTCAAGTTTAAATAAAAATTAAAAGTGAAATTTTATTTTTAAAAAATGGGCTGCTAATAACAAGCTGGTTCAATAATGAAATGTAGTAATACTGCAGCTATTTTATTAGCCTTCTCTACTGATTACTTAGTTTTTGCCCCACAATGTTATTTTGGCTTTCTTTTTTACCTTTTCTGATAAATCCTTTTGTTTTTAAAAATTTGATTATTTCCTTAGGTATATCATCCTTTAGTTTAAAAACAAGACAAAACAAAATGTAATTAAGTCTTAAATTTCTATCTAACTGCTTTGCTCTGAACTCTAGCCTACTAGGTAGAAATGTTTATTGAACACTTTGACTCAGAAAATTTATGACTTTCAAATTTGCCAGACTTTCAAACAGATTCTCTACCAAACTCTTTCTTTTTCCAACATAGTACATTCTTCACTATTAGTATCAGCATTATAAATTTAATAAGTCATATAGATGTTCATTCACTTAAAAGCATTTATTAAGCACTGAGTTAGATTGAGATGGTAAGAGTGGGAAGAATTAAAAAAAAAAAAAGGAACAGGACACTCTACCTCTTTCTTACCTTCAAAGAGCTCAAAATCTTGAGAAAAAAATTAAAGTAGAAAAGATAATCCTGAAATTTCTAAATGATTTCATGTGGTCTCATGGGCTTCAACTGCTGGCTATTTAATGAACAGCATACACCACAATGCAATTATATAGTGTGTCTTACTCCAGGAACCTATGAACTTATTAAAGGTAAAGATACTGCTTTTTTATCCTGTATCCCCACTGTCTAGATGAGTACCTAATACAGAGGTAAAAGGGATCAGTAAATGTATACTAACTACATGATGAATGAATACATGGGTAAAAACAATTACACACACACACACACACACACACACGCACATCTTCTCAGCTAAGATCTCTCCTATAATTCATATCCATCTACCCAACTGGTCAGGATTTTTTTTTCTTTCATTCATCCATTTATCCATTCACCCACCCATTCAATATGTACCGAGTGCCTACTAGATGTCAGGTACTTCTTATAAGGTGCAATGGGTATAGAAGTGAACTTATTAGATGGCAGAAAATAATCTGTATGTGAAGAAAAACAAAGCAAGGTAAAGGGACAGAGGGTAATGATAAAAAAAAAACAAACTTGTTTTATATGGTTTGGTAAAGAAAAGTCTCTTTGATAAGGTGACATTACAGCAAAAAATAGAGTGACAGTCATACTCTAATCTGGGAGGCATTTCAGGCATAGGGAAGTCCTAGTAGTAGGCTCTGAGGTAGAAGCCTGCTTGAAATGTTCTGTTTAGAAGGCCAGGGTATCTACAGAGTAGTGAGAACAATGAGCAGAGTGACACAATCTGACTTAAGCTGAAAAGTTAAGAAAAGAAACTGAGGTATCAAATTGGAGGCTACTACAATAATTCAGACAAGAGATGATAGTAGCTTAAACTAGGGTAGTAGTTAAGGTAGTAAAGAGATTAGATTCTGGATTCTTCAAGGTACACCAACAGAATTTGTTGTTAGTTTGGATGTAGGAGAAAAAGAGAAGTCACATATGAATCAAAGGTTTTCAGCCTGAGCAACTGGAAAAATTAAATTTTCAATATGAGAAATGTGAAGTTTGAGATGCCCTGACAGACATCTATTAACTGGATATCAAGTAGTCAGTTGGATATCTGAGCTTGGAGAATGGAAAAGAGTCAAGACTAGGGAAATAATATAATAAAATTATATGCCACAGGCATCTGAAACTTAACGCTAAAATCTTAATTCAATTTTCCTAGCCAGTCAGCTTGCTGCCTGTCTTGTATTTAATGTACTAGGTACCACTACTTACCCAGCAACCTGGAAGACATCCTTAACCCTTCCCTTTACCTTTATTCCCAGCCCTCATCCAATTAGTTCACAGACTCTGAATTGCCATCTCCTAGACTGTCATCTTGATGGTATCATAGTTCATCACCATCTTAGTTCATGTCCTATATCCCACACTTTAACTACTACTACTACTGGCCCTTTACTCACTCAACCTCAGTACCTTCTGATTCATTTCCTACACCAATGCCAGCCCGGTGTTTCCATATCAAAATATAATCATTCACATTTCTACATAAATTTGTCAATGGCTGCTCACCTCCTGTAAGACAAAACTCAAACTCTTTTGTGTAGTAGACAAAGCCTTTTATAGGATTTGGTCTCAATACACTTTTAACATCTACTCTTTCTCTTATAGCATCACCCAGTGTTCTTACCATCTAGATCTCCACCAAGGTCCCCAAGTACATCATGCTTGTGTGCTGTTGTGCAAGCTATTATCTTCTACATGGTCTGTTATCCTTCCCTTGCCTAAGCAAATTACCAATTATTCAAGGCACAACTAAACCATTCAACTGAAGCTCAACTTTTAAAAAGTAGACCATAATTGAAAACATTTTTAAAATCCCCAAATTACATTAAGTACAGGTAAAGTCATCTTCAAACTAGAGACTGTTATATCTCATTATCACATCTGAAAGAAACTTGCAATAAGATTTCCCAAAAAAGGGGGCGCCTGGGTGGTGCAATCGGTTGAGTGTCCAACTCTTGGTTTCAGCTCAGGTGGTGATCTCAGGGTTGTGGGATTGAGTCGCAAGTGGGGCTCACATTCAGTGCGGACTCAGCTTGAGATTCTCTCTTCCTCTCCCTCTGCCCCTCCCACTCGTGTTCTCTAAGTGAATAAGTGAATTAAAAAAAAAAAAAAAAGATTTCCCAAAAAGACTATATACGTGTAATGAACAAAACCTATGACTGTTATTTAAAAAGTATTACCATTTCATAATGAATCAATTATATTATCAAAACTTCCTACCGAAAGATAATCATCTCATATTATTTAAGATGACTTCTAATGTTATTCATAAAAGAAATTATAAAGTTATAATTGTAATACATTAAATATAACATTTTTACTAAATGATTTTTCTCAGACTGATTTATTTTCTTATGCTTTATATTTTACTGTCTTTCAAAACACTGAACTCTTTATTATCATTATGCTTTTTGTCTTTACCATCTTGAATATTCTTACTTTTATTATCTTTTACTATTCTAAATTTCCTCTGGACCTGAAATTAAAAAATATATACTTCTCACTTCTGGATTTGCCTAGTTTCATGCTATCTTTATCTAATTACAAAGCAATTACCTCTTTTGCCTCCAAATCATGCTCATATAAATTATATGTAAAAACAAGCAACACATGTTTAAAATTAAAGTATGTGTGAAGGGAAATTTCTTATGCTTAAGAAAATCCAGTTAGAAAGAAAAACTTACTTTCATATTTTAAAAAAATTTAAATGCTACTGATTAGTTATAGGCTCTGCTTTAGTTAACTAAAATCTAGAAGAAAAAAAAACCCTTACTGTACTACATATTACAATACTTTTTTTCTAGTTCCACTGTTTTAACCAGCTAGTGACCTTGAGAAAGCCGTAACTTCTTTGAATATTAGTATAATGGACTAAGAACACTGAAATTGAACCTAGACTGCTGGGTTTCAATCCCTCATCTGCCACTTATTAGCTCTATTATTTTGGGCAAGATACTTAAATCTCTGCTAATATTCAGTTTATTTGTAAAACACTTACTTGTAAAAAAAGGGTAATGAAAGCACCTATCCCCTAAGGTTGTTGTGAGGATTAAATTAATTGAGATATGTGAAATGCTTAGATCAGGAGTAAGCACCAAGGTATTAACTATCACTATCAGCTCTAAATGCCTATGATTCTGCTTCTCCTTTCTTGTTTTATGGTCTAACAGACAGAAAATTCTATAATGCATTTAATTGGTCCTTAGCCTACCTATTACAATTGCAAGGTTTTAAATAATGAAAACAATAGATATCAAAACTAAATTGGGTATAATAAAGTGATTAGAGTATTTAACATCCGTTACTACTATTGAAAAACAGTAAATATAAGATTGAAATGTAGCCAAATCTCTTGGTGAGAAAAAATAAGAATAAATTGGAGTTTGGTCACAGCTAGGAGATACAAAGATTGACTTGTGTCCCAAGCTAAATAAAGGCAATTGCATTAAAATACAAGCCAGAAATACTTTAAGCTAAGGCTCAATCGTTACTACTTTTATTTTGTTTTTAAGTAAATTCTACACCCAATGTGAGGCTTGAACTCACAACCCTGAGATCAAGAGTTTCATGCTCTACCAAATGAGCCAGTGGGGCGCTCCAAATCATTGCTAGTTTCAAAGGCAATTTACTTAAGCATAACTAGTTATTGACCAAATATATTATTAAGAAATTAGAGCTGAAAGAACTGAAGAATTTTAAAATATTAAATAAAAACGTTCATATCAGGATAAATAATTTTAGAAATCTTATCACTACAAGAGGTATATTGAAGGTGCTCTTTTTATAATTATTAAAATCTATTAGAAATATCCCTATAATTTGTTTCTCTGGAACAAAGTTATGCTATATAAGTTCATGTATTCCCATTATATGAATAAACTGAATACCATAAAGTATTTTCTAGGAGACATTCTTAATAAAATACAGTATGGTACAATGATGAAGAGTGTGGGCTCAAGAGATCTATCACACTATTTGGGACTGAACTGCAGTACTACTTCCTACCTGTATGATCTTGGGTAAATCACTGATTCTCAATTTGCCATGTGTAATATGAGGGTAATAGTAGTAGTAATCTCTTAGCATTGTTGTGAGGATAAAATGAAAGGAGGCACTTAAAACCAACTGGCTCAATGCGTGGCATACATTGTCAGCATTTAGTAAGAGTTAACTACTATTATTAGTATTAGCTTTTCACTTTTCACTTTTCAGTTCCAAGGTCATCTCATCTATTTCTCAGAACTCCCCCTCATCTATTATTCTCCCAGATTTACATTTTCCATTGTGACATCTCTTAAGTTCCAACAATGTACCAAATATTGTTATGTGAATGTCCTTTAGCTACCACAAACTCAATATATCCCAAAACAAACTCATGTACTCCCTAAATAGCTGGTCTCAATTCTTCCTTTATCTCCACATTCAATTATTCATCCAAGTGTTTTAATTTTACCTTAATACTTCCTCAAGACAGCCCTGCTCTTTTCTATCTTAAATGTAATTGTTTTGTCCTCATCTTTCAGCTGGAATAATTTAAGAGCCTTCCTCGAGGAAGATATGCCACCGTGTAATCCCCATTTTAAATCATCCTCCAAACTGCCATCAGCTGTTATTACTAAAGACCAAATCCAATCAAGTCCATTTCCTGCTTGGAGATCCTTGTTGCATCTAATGTCTACAAAATGGATGTCCTTCACCATCTGGCTCCAGCCTAATTTTTCAGGTCTCACCCTCCTACTAATTTTGTCTTGACTTTGCATTTCGATTACAATTCTAATGAGTTCTCCGCATATGCTATGTCTCCAATTCCTTTTCTTTGCACATGCTGATACACCCTTGCCTGATAGGCCTTTTTTGTCCACCACCTCCTTTCTCTGCTAAGCAAACTCATTCTCAAATGTCACTATTCTGAAATTTTTACTGACTATTGGAAGCAGTTAGTCATAGCCTTTTCAGTTCTTCCACACCTTCTGTTCCTATCTATATTTTAGCACATAGCACACTGCATTGTTAAGCTCTGTTTATATATATCTGCCACTTCTGATATGCTGTGAAATCCTGAAGAATAAAGATTGTCTTCTTTCTTCCTTTCTGTCTTTTCCATACCCAGCACCCGGAGCATTTGCTGGCATATTAACCAATACTGAACGAATCATTACAATTAAAATCAGTCTTGCAAAAAGCTTCCTTTATATACAAGGAAACCAAAGGCAAGAAGTTTTCAGTACATCTCCATGCCCTTCCTAGCACATGATAATTGCTAATATTAGGCAGTATAAAAAGAGTGTTTAACAGGAAATGGTTAGCTATCCATCTAGGCTTTCATCAGAGCAAGATATGGGCAGGTAAGGCAGTCTTCTTTCCAGGTTGTGATGCCTTATATCTATTTTCCAGTTTCCTCAAGCCTTGACTATCCTATTACTCCAAAATGCCTGTCTAGAACATTCCTGTTAAAAGCTCTTCTGTGTACTTATCCAAGCCCCAGTTTTTAACTACTTTTCTAATGTATGCCCTGTTTCTCCTGGGCTCCAGGGACCTTCTAACTACCTGTTACAATGTCTCAACTCTGTTTAGGCACTAAAATATCTTATCAGCTTCAGTGTCTTAAGATTATTATTATTATTTTTATTTTTGAGAGAGAGAGAAAGAGAGAGTGCACACACATTTGGAGGGGGGATGGGCGGTGGGGGGGAGGGAGAGAGAGAATCTTAAGCAGACTCCAAGCTCAGCATGGAGCCCTGACGTGGGGCTCGAACTCACGACCCTGAGATCATGACCTGAGCTGAAATCAGGAGTTGGACACTTAACCAAATGAGCCACCCGGGCGCCCCTTAAGATTTTTTTAAAAACATTTAGGGTCATTATGAATTTTCCTAATCCCAGGAATAAAAATCTCTTTTCAAGGTACTAACTTAGCTTCTACTCCTTTGCTTCTATTTCATGATCAACCATACTTCAGTAAGTGCCTACCTTCTAAAACAATATTCCATACCTTTCCTTTATCTTTTAACACCTTAGTAAAACAGTTCTCTTCTGATAATACTCATTTAATCACTGCCTAAACATAATGGAATATAGTGGAAATCATACAGAATAATTTTATTTATACATATTAATTTTAATTATTAATTTTTAATTGTAAAGTACACATAACATAAAATTTATCATCTTAACATTTTTAAGTATGCATTTCAGTAGTGCTAAGTACATTTACATTGTTGTGCAACCCATCTCTAGAACTCTTTTCATCTTGCAAAACTGAAATGCTACACCCATTAATCAAAAACCCCCATTCCCATCTCCTGACAGCCATCATTCTACTTACTTTCTCTATTAATCTGACTCCTGAAGTACTTCATGTAAGTGGAATCATACAGTATTTGTCTTTTTGTGACTGTCTTATTTTGTTTACCATCATGTCCCCAAGGTTCATCCATGCTACAGTATGTGTCAGAATTTCCTTTTTAATGCTGAATTAATAGTCCATTGTATGTACATACCACATTTTGTTTATTTACTCATCCATTGACAGACATTTGGTTTACCTCCATCTTTTGCTTATGTGAATAACGCTGTTATAAACATGGGTGTACAAATATCTTTTTGAAACCTTCCTTTTAACTTTTTGAGTATGTACCCCCAAAAAAGAATTGCTAGACACATAAAACATAAATATGTATTATATATATATCTCAAGATACAATTCATATACATTTATAATATACAGTTCAGTGGTTTTTAGTATATTTGCAGAGTTGTGAAACTATTATTACCACCATCAGTTTAGAATACTCATTTCTTCTAAACAAAACTCTACCCATAAACAATTACTCCTCATCTATAAACTGATGTCTCTCAAATTTGTATCTCCAGCCTGTACCTGGAGATTCACAGATTCAACTGCTTAAATATCTAATCAGCAAAACAAACTTGACGTATCTGAAAATAAATCCCTGAACTTTCCCCACAAAACCTACTTTTCCCACAATATTCATATCTCATTTATACCTTCTTTCTTGCATATCCTACACTTAATCACTCAATAATTCTCTTGAACAAACCTTCAAAATATATCTAAAATCCAACCTTTTCTCATCACTTTGTCCACCACCACCTATTTCTGCCCTTACTTTCCTACAATCTATTCTCAACACAACAGCCACAGAGATCCTTTCTAAAGTTAAGTCGGATCATGTCACTCCTCTACCTCAATTGCTCCACTGGCTCCCTACTTCTCTCTGCCTAAAAGCCAAAGTAATTCCAACGGCCCACAAGGCCTTGATGTGGTATGGTTCACTGTTACCTCTGTGACATCATCTCCCTCCAGCCTCTTCCTTGTTTTGCATACTTTAGTCACACTAGTCTACTTATTGCTTCTCTGAATAAACCATGCACCCTCCCATCCTTGCACTTGTAGCTCCCTGTCTGGAATGTTCTTTCCCCAGATGCATGATTCATCCCCTCACCTCATTCAGATCTTAGCTTAAATACTACTACCTCTCTATTTAAATTTGCAACGTATCTCATTCATCCTGCGCGCTTCCCTATCCTCTTTGCCTATTTTCTCTCCAAAGCTTTTATTACCACATAATTTTATGTCTGATCCTACAACTTATGATTCTTCTTTCAATTTTAAAAATATTAAAAAGATGGAGAGGGCGCCTGGGTGGCTCAGTTGGTTAAGCGACTGCCTTCGGCTCAGGTCGTGATCCTGGAGTCCCGGGATCGAGTCCCACATCAGGCTCCCTGCTCAGCAGGGAGTCTGCTTCTCTCTCTGACCCTCCTCCCTCTCATGCTCTCTGTCTCTCATTCTCTCTCTCGCAAATAAATAAAATCTTAAAAAAAAAAGATGGAGAATTGAGAATCATATATTTTTTTCAAACAGACTAATGCTACACATATTGCTATGGAAGGTGATTTTTTCCCACTCAAATTATGATTTCCCCTTCAGTACCAACAATTATTTTATTGAAAAAGTCAAGTTCATATTCTTTCTAAAACAGTTTTAAACATTTCTTCCATTTAGGTCGCTTTTACATTACCTTGCCGATTAACTTCATTTTGAAGTAGCTCTTCCATTGCCTCCTCCTCAGCAATATCTAATGGTGTGTCTCCTTCACTGTTGACAGCTCCTACATGTGCTCCCTGACCAATCAAAAATCTATAAAATGAAAGGGAAAACAGTTAAGAAATGACGGTATCATTAAGACTAAAGGCATAACAAATGAGATAACTCCTACATAAGAACAACACTAAAAACCAAGGATAGATGCATTAATTTGTTTTAAAAAAGTAGAGCATGTTTTTTTATTTTAATTTATATTTCCTAATTTTTCTATAATGTACATACATTGCCTTATGAATACAAAAATGTTATTTAATGATAATTAGAAAGTCTTCCATAGGATCATTTCAGACTGTCCCCACTAAATTTTTCATTACCTCCATACTGATTGGTTTCCTAACTGATATCCATGCTCCCAGTCTCATGCCATATATGATAGTTTTTTTTTTTAAGATTTATTTATTTATTTATTTATTTGAGAGAGAGAGAGAGGGAGAGAATGTGCGTGTGGGGTACAGAGGGAGAGAGAGAATCCACTGAGCATAGGCCCAACGTGGGGCTCAATCCCAGGACCCTGAGATCATAACCTGAGCCGAAATCGAAAGTCAGACGCGCAACTGACTGAGCCACCCAGGTGCCCCATATGCAATAGTTCTTAACCTGGGGTTGATGGGACTAAAGTCAGAAGGTCATTCAACTGATGCAGATATCTTAAAATACTATTTATGATCATCACTGTTTTGAAATTAAAGTAATTGTTAAATGAACCTTTAGGTCTCTTTAATGTGTTACTAAAGAAGCACATATTATAACTATACCATAAATGTGTTTTTCTAATGTTCTGAAAATGAAACCTAATAGAACTGGTTTTTGGTGTACTTTGTATTTTATTTTATATATCCAAAATACAATCCTGAGAAAGTATCCACATGCTTCATCAAACCTGACGAAGTGATCCAGATACAAAAAGGTTAGGAATCTCTTTCACTGCATCAACTATACATCTCCCAGAATCTCCCATTTAAAATGACTGGAGTCAATTTCCCACTTAAAAATCTTTGCATGGTTGTACCATTCTAAGAGAAAACATACATGGCCCTCAATGAGCTGGTTTTGTCTTCTTTTTCAGCCTCATTTCTCTTCTGTCTTGTATCACACTTTAGGCCCCAACAATACAGAACTATGCTTATAGTGCCAGAACTAACCCATGCTCCTTTGGCATTCCTGATTTTACTTTTGTATATGTAAAGAATGGGCTTTTTTCCTCTACGTCCCTAACTAACTTAACTCTTATTTATATATTTTTATGGACTACACAAAAATATTCTCATTATAAAAATAGTAAAAATGTCCAGTTTAAAAAAAAGAAAAAAACAAGAACACCTTTATACCTCTCCTTCTACTATTATGCTCCCTCCCCAGAGATAAACATTATGAACAATATCTTCCTAGTAACTTTGCTATGAATTTCTATGTGTGTATATAAACATATGTACACAGTCACTTTTGAGGTTCTTTTTGTGAAACAAAAATTAATGAGATTGTTTTCAATGTACAGGAATGCAATGCATTATAATAGTTGAAAGATATTCCACAGTATGGCTGAATCATACTTTTATTTCATACTATCCTTCTAATGGACATGTTCTTAAATGGACAATTGACATTATCAATCTTTAAAAATTTTCCCAACATCATGGGGATAAAACTTTATTTCCTGATCACACAAGAGGTTGAAAATACTTGGATATGTTTACTGGCATTTGTATTTTCTCCTCTTGTGAACTTATTTACATCTTTTGCTGGTACTTCGAATGTGTTCATTAATTTAACAAATACTTAGGGAATGTTTTTATGGACTGCATGTTTGTACCCCCAAATTTCATGTTGAAATCCTAACCTCCAATGTGATGGGTATTAGGGGGTGGGACTTTTGGTAAATAATTAGGCTTAGATGAAATCATGAGGGTGATGCACCCATGATGGGATTACTGTTCTTACAGAAGAAGAAGAGACTAGAGCTCACTGTCTTTCTGCCATAAGGGGCACAGCAAGATGGCAGCTATCTGCAAGTCAGGAAAAGGGCCCTCACCAGTCACAGAATTGGCCAGCACCTTGGTCCTTTAATTCCTGAGTGCCCAGAACTATGAGAAACAAATGCCTATTGTTTAAGTCACTCAGTTTATGGTATTTTATTATCCCAGTCAAAGCTAAGACAGGTATCTAGTATGTACCTAGTACTATGTTATATGCCAGGAATACAATGGTAAGCAAAACAAACACAGACATTTCCCTCCAAAAGCTTACAGTCTAGTAAAAGAGTTAGATTATTGTAAAATTTGGTAAGTCTTATGACAGAGAATTTTGGGGTCTCTACGAGTGAATAATAGGATAATCCAATTCAGTTAGGTCAGGAAAGGATTCTCTGAAGAATATGTAGGTACTAACAAAGACAATGGAAGGAAAGTGTGTTTCAGGTAAGAGAGAACAAAAGGTACCATATACCCTGTGACAGTAAGTATGTATGGCCTACAAGGGCCTGGTTCATTTTCCTGAAAGAACTGATCAATCTCTATGTGTATCTGTCTTACACACACACACACACACACACACACACACACACGGTGTCTATTTTCCAAGATGTTATATGATCAGGAATATGTTTCAAAAAGATCACTTTGTGCAGTACGGAAAATAGAATGAAAGTAGGAAGATCAGTTAAGGAGCTACTGCAGTAGTAAAAAAAAAAAAAAAAAAAAATTATGTCGTAAGCTTGAATTTTATGGAAGAAATGGATGAATTCCAAAGATACCCAAGAGGATACTGGGAGATCAGTTGGATATGAGAAGTGAGGGTGAGGAAGGTGTCGAGGATAAATTGAAGTTCTTGACTTGTATGATGTGACAGATGAATGGTGGTACTAATGAATGATATAGAGAAAATGAAGTTATTTCCTACATCTGACTAACAGCTATGTGACAAATATTTCTTCACGCTGTATTAAAAAAAAAAAAAAAAAAAAACTTTTCAGGGCGCCTGGGTGGTACAATGGGTTAAGTGGCCGACTCTTGGTTTTGGCTTGGGTTGTGATCTCAGGGTCGTGGGATCGAGCTCCACATCGGACTCTGTGCTCAGTGCAGTCTACTTAAGACTTTCTCTCCCTCTACCCCCCTCAAATAAATAAATAAATCTTTAAAAAACAAAAATAGACACAAAAAACTTTTCTTAAAGTATTTTGTATCTTACTAAGTTTAAAGGTTGTATAAAGGCAGGTCTGTCAATCTTTTGCTTTAAAAAGGCTTTTACCATCCTATTACATGTATCTATGTGGAGATGTAACTTTTACAGACACATACATGGAGAAGAATAAAAGAATATACACTATAAAGTTAACAGTGATTATCTATTATCTCTAAGTGGTAATTAGAAGGGATTTTTATGAGTAGTTTTATTGGGGGGAATTTTTTGTTATCCAAATTTTCTGTAGAAAGTTTATTTTGTATATGTGTGTCAGACCACAAAAATGGCTACCATACCATTCTGCAGCCTGATGCTTTTACACTACACTTAATAATACATTATAAACATTTCTCCCTATATAAGGTAATATTTCATTTTTATGATCTTCATGGGACTTCTACAAAAAGAAGTCATGCTTGAATTGAGGCAACTTTTTCTGTTTCAGAGTTTTAAAAAATGTAATATAAAACTAAATGAGAACATTTACATACTACAAATAAATAAATGAGTCTGGAGCAAAACAGAAAAAAAAGATATAAGTAGCATAATAAACTGTGCTATGCTCCAAGAAAGTATGTAAATAATCTGCTATGCAAAATATCAACCAATTAGCCCTATTTATATGAAACCACTTCTATTTTGCTTAGGTAGAAATCACTCACAGGATATAAAGACTGAGAATAAAAGGAGTACTTCAGAGTAGCTCCAGTGCTTGCAGCAGGGGGAACTACATGGGAAGCAGAGTCTCAAGGAAATACCAGGTCAAAGCCAAATACAGACAATCCAAAATTTTTATAAACAGGAAGGATGTTAAGAGAAACTAACAAGAGTAAAGTTCCAAAACTACTGGCAGGAAACAGAGCCTGGAGCAATTCCTGAGCCAAAAGTTAAGATATATGTATGTACTCATATAATTCACAAAAATCGCCTGCACTCCAGGACTATCATTTGCAAATATAAATTTTTTAAAAAGATACATAAAAATAAAGAAATAAAGTCCCATGGCATTAATTCTTAGCTACAATGAATAATCTCAAAAAACCATTCAAAGATTGGTTGTGTGAAAAAAAGCACAAATGTCTGACTTCTGTAGACTTTGAGTTAGGCTCTCAACTCTGCCTCTTGACAGCTGTATGACATTCATTAGAACACTGGAAGCCCAGTCTACAGGAAAATTACAGGGCTATGTGAAGTTTCAATAAGTTAATGCCTAAAAATAAAATTCTACCTTTTATCCCATCATGCAAAATTATCACATTTAGAAAGCAATGTTTAAGATAATGTGAAATAAAATAGTACAGACTATCTGGAATACCAGAAATTGACTCTGAGGGGTCCTCCAGATACTGAAAACAGATGGCTATATTTCCTTCAGAACAAAAAAAGCTAGGATATTATAAGCAGCTCATGTGACTGCTAATTAGGAAACATTTATTTTAAGATTTCTTGGAAAGAAAAAAGCAAAGATTTCACATAGAATATCCCAAGTTGAAAGTCAGAAGATTGGGCTGTTTCTCAGATGAGTACTTTTTTTTTTTTGTATGCTTTAGAGTTGTTGTTGTTTTTAGCAGGGTTTTATCGCCGTAACAATGGTTAATGATTTCAAGTGATACAAATGAGGCCAACATAGGAGATGCCTATAAATGATGAAATTCTTTATAAATTGTAGAAGTGAAAAATGTTAAACCACTAGGTTTATTGAGATTTATAATTATCTAGCACCCTGAATCAATAAATAATTTTGGATAAATTAACTGACCTCAAAATCAAGACATGATCCAAATGGACTTTTACAAAATTATTTGCACATGTCCTAATTTAAAAATCTGACAAAAGGGGTAAAGTTCTTAACCAAG